GAAATACTTTAAGTGAGTGAAGCTCAAAAATATTTTTCAAGAATAATTAATCCAATTTAAAGTAAACGAATGTATCTTTTAAAAAAGTTATATATTGAATGCAAATTTTAAGGTTTTTATACTAAAATCCGGAAGGTCAATAATATCTAACATTGTGATTTAAAAGAGGTCACATGTTACCTAAGAACGAAATAGGAATCATCTTTAAAGCGCTAAATATTAAAATATATACTTAGATCCCGAGGGTCCATAACATCCTAAAATGACTGCATACACTGACATCACAAAAGGTACTCCGAATGTGTAAAGAAGAAGCTTCCAATCGTATCTGCCAAATTCAAACTGCTTCTGTAGATAAATGAGTCCAAAAGCGTTAATTGCTGCGACATTCGTCATTAAAAGCTGCAGAGACAAATCTATACAGATAAAAGGCATAAAAGTCGAACAAATCTTTGGTATAGACATGTTATTTGGTGATTACCATTTGAAGATGGTCCATGCTGTGTGTCACATAAAAAAACTCGCAAAGAGATTTAGTACACTACAAAACGTTCACATGCATCCAAGAAAAGAAAGAACGCGTCTGACTCCGCAATGATGACGGCGGACGCACAACAGAAATGCAAAAGATACAATACAAGGCAAGAAGGTGAATAAAAAGAAGCTATTCTGTGTCTGTTCCAAAACATCTACATCATATCCATCACTATGGATTTTCCGCTTTCTTTCTTTCTTTTTCTTTTATTCGAAATATCTACTCTATTGTGTAACAGGAAAGAAGAAAAATGCGACGACGATTCGAATCTACCCCCCTTCGAATCTTTAGTCAGGTGCTCTACCAACTGCGACCGAATCCGTCTGACCGCCACACTTAAAAGCTTGGTAGATTCGATGTAGTTACCTGTTCCTTAACGAATTTACTTTCATATTCAGGAGTTACTCCGACATTGATTAAATACGTGCAAATATTCATCATCAACTTTATGCACTCCGACAATTGAAATCATTCTAATTCTTCAACAAAACGCTCCTTTGGGCTATGTTATTGTTAGTACCTACAAGAATTCCCTGATGCCAGAGTATGATTTCATATACTGATGATTAATTGAGAAAAAACATGACATTTATTTCAAAGCATTCTTATTTAACTTCGCCTATCAAAATACCGATATCGAAAAAAAATTAAACAGGATGAAACAGGACTGGTTTAGATGGCTTTTATCTGTTGAACCCTTTGAGGGAACACTTTGGTGTCTTGAATTGGGTTTAAAATTTATTGCAGGAATCTGAGGCTATTTCATAGTTTTAATGAATCTGATATGTAACATTTCCTTTATCATTTCCTCTAAAGAAAAACATAATCTTTGTCTAATCCATTTAGAAAATGTGAAAAGTTTACAGACGGACTGACGGACGACGGACAAAGAGTGATCAGAAAAGCTCACTTAAGCTTTCAGCTCAGGTGAGCTAAAACATAATCTTTTGATTTCTAGTATATGAAAGCTATATCCTTTATAGAAAATCATCAGCAATGAGCTATTTTTTTTTTGTTCCAATCCATCATCGTTTTGAGTAAAAGAAACTGGTAATAGATACATGCTAAAGTTATAAACAAGTTTTAAACAAGTTTTTTTTATTAATTAGTTAAAACAATAGAAACCTAAGCAGAGCAAACACGCCCCCCAGAAATATCAGAGGTGGGGTTCAGGTGCCATTGAAGAACAAGCATCCCCTGTTGTGAGCTCTTTGTCTTGACTGAGTACAGGAACATCCGTAAACAAATCAATATGAAAATAATGGCGTAATAATTTGTATTGAAACATCATTGAACATGCGACCTGACGACAGGTTGAATCTGCAAACAAGGTCATTTTTATCGACCATAGAATCTGCGAAATGTTGACTTTAAAGTAGATTGTTGAAACCCTCGAGCCAGCAACATTTATCCCTGTCTATTGCAAGAAACGGTCAATCGCGAAGCCATTATTAAAACATTGTTTATCTTTCGCATTGTCTAAATTAATTACCCGATATATGAACACACACACACACTCACACAAACGCACACAATATTTGTTTTCAAAAAAGGGCAGTGCTTAGAATATATATCAAGTTACAAACCTATTTCAATATTTCAATAACAAGTATAATCAAAAAAAAAAAAAAAAAAAGATCTAAATAATTTTTTTCTTGATTAACAATATTGGATGTCTATGTATGTAAGAATCTGAAGCCAAGAGACTGAACCGTGATTCAACTAATTGAAATCTACAATTATTTTAACCTACATGTATTTAAGATGATGTAAGGTTCATTTTTATGGTATCTACTGGACCTTTGATAGGAGTCTAGTACAGGGGGCTTTTACTTAAATTCGTGGGTTTCCTGGGAATAAACTATTTTTAAACAATATCCTACTGATTTAAAAATCAACGGATGAAGATTCCATATACATATCATGGATGGATCAACTAAGGGATGAAACTGAGCTGAACATTCCATTTCTTTGTCTCTGAATTTCTTATTTATATTTGAAAAGATTTAAGCTTTTGACTAGGACCATTCGAATATCAGCAATGCTGCCTTTGTTCTCTTAAAAGCAGAAAACAAGTGGTAGTATTAAAGAAACTCTCGCAGCAAATGGACACAAAAAGGATACTCCTACCTAGATTTTTTAAAATATTGTAAGTAAAAAAGTTATGGGACTTTGGCCTCAAAATTTAAAAAAAAAAAAAAAACAGAGTTGATTTCTCGATCAAGAATTAGCTTTCATTGAAAAGATGACTTCAAATATCTGTTTCAAAAGAAGATTTCAAACATGTTTAATGGAAAATAAAAATCACTCGAAATATTATTGATCTCAGTCAATCTATTATAAGTTGAAGGCAAGGATCTTCATATGTAATTGATCAAGTTTAAAAAACATAAACAAAACCCATTTTAAAACACACACATCGACTCCGGTTTTATATTGATGATTATCTACCAGAAAAAAGTATTATATTTAGAACAATGCTTACTGCTTATTTTGATACTGTCACTTTCCCTTTATATTGTGGACTTTCCACCATTTGATGATCAAGTTTTTACGAATCCAATATCAAAGGAGAAAAGAATAAAAACTCAATGGTTCATTTACTTGATACGTTTTAATAAGGCGATGATTTTTATGGTTCATCAGGATATTTTTCTTTTTCAAAGAGAGAGAGAGCTTTGTCGTGTGTTTGGCTGTATTTTAATCATCACACAGAGCACGATCTAATTAAAATCAGACTTCTTAGATCCGCGCCATGTACACTCTTACGCAGAGGGTTTTCATCGTAGATCTAAGATAGTCTGATTTTAATTTGATTGCATACAGTATGGGCGGTAATGATATTGTACAAATATACCCAAAAAGAACTCTTTGAATCTTTTGGATTTGTGCTGGCCAAGTTAATGCTCACCCAATATCTAATGGTGGACGTTCACAAACACGGCAATGCTTAAACATGAAACATAGTATGCACACAGTACACCCAAACCATTGACCTCTCTTGGTCTTTAAATAAAATTTAATGTATCTATCAAGGTATATTTATTTCATTTTTATTCATCTATTATGATTTACAAATCTACCTGAAAAATGACAATTGAAACTATGAAAATACTTTCTGTATTAAACATTAAGTATTCGATCTTGCATAATTCTTTAATTCAATTTACCTAACAATTACATTATTTACAGTGATAAATTAAAAAGAAAGGTGAATAACTAAGGGGAATAGCTTCTTTTAAAGCCGAGCAAAAATTTCCATGACGGGGCACCTTTGCTCATTATAACCTTGTACTTAGTTTGCCTGTCTTATACCCAGGTGCAGAGAAGAAACTTTTCAAAGAATTAATGCATTTTCACTATATGATCGATAGACCCCCGCCTTACCACCAGAACCCCTGACCCTGGGGTCATAATTTCACAATTTGGGAAGAGGCATCCTTGCTCATCATAATTATACATTTAGTTTGTCTGCTGGATACCCAGGGCAGATTTTTGAAGAATTTATGCATTTTCACCAAATGATCTATAGAGCCCCATTCTAACACCAGAGCCACTGACCCTGGGGCCATGAATTTCATAATTTTGGTAGAGGACTCGATGCTCATACAAATCATGGCAACAGTTTGACAGTTTGATGTCCAGGAGTAAAGTAGATTTTTAAAGATTGCATTTATTTTGGTGGTTTTTGCCCCATCCCTCAGGCCCAATGGGGGCAGGGACCATGGAATTCATATTTGTTTCCTTTTATCTATAGATTCTCCATATATGCCAAAATTGGTTGAAATTGGTTCAGCAGTTTCAGAGAAGAAGCTGAAAATGTTCACATGTTCACAAAACACAGATAGCAATAGGTCATCTGAATGACTTAGGTGACCTAAAATCCTGTGTGGAAATTTTGAGAGATCGATATAGGTTCATTCTAGATAGCCTAAGACTTAAAACAAATTCATATTAAAAGATTTTCAAGTTTTTCCTCTAGCACCGTACTGTAAAAAATCCTCCTCGTCAGCACCTGTCTTCTTCTGTCTCAAATTGAAGTAGATCGGAGCCGAGTGCATGCATTAATTTTACAACACATCCTCGTAAAGGAAACCAAAACTTTTTTTAATCTCTGCAATGAGGAGCTAATATCCCTATCTGTTACAGTCCATGCTCAGCCAGTGGTGGAATATTGCGCTTTGAGAAAAATTGACAAAGTATTGCAAATGCAACATGCTCGCAAACATCTCTGTGAGATACCTATAGGCGGTATAGATGGACATTGTGTCAAAATCCTTTTTGATTCAATATTTTGACTGTAAAAATACTTCTATTGTGAGAAAGCTTTCAAAATATTTTTCAATTATCGGTACATTGACTATGTCCAAAATTATTGCTCTCAGTTTGCCACACAACACAGACACCCACACCTTTGGATAACAAGCATCATTCGTGTTAAGACTGATATTTATATGCTTCTACATTACATTCTTGTGTCTTCAGCTGAATAACTAGCATTGATAGTTCCTACTCCTGAGTCTTGAGATTTCTGATCGGGAATTTTAGGCGCTTTAGAATCCTTATTCCGATTTCTTCGTCTTTTGATGATGATATACACAGCCCCGTTCAAAACACCACCAAGGTTAGTAAATATGACAATCACAGTAAAAAATTCTTGTGGCACCTTTGAAAAGTTTTGCCATATACTAACAATTCCGAGGGCCCACCACTGGATAAAAAAGACAGTTACAAAGAGACTCATCAATTTGGCTGCATTGTGAGAAGCACGCAGTGTCTGTGCTTTTGTTCCAAGCATGGCCTTAATCTGCTTGGATTCCACGTGGATTTTCCACCATGTTAGGATATAGAGCACCACGTTCACAACTAAGACAGCAGTTATCGGAACAGTAAAAAAGAATATGCTGGCAAGTGCCCCTTTTACTGCATCAAATGCACAACTGGAAAAAAAATCAAAAACATAAATTAGTTGACACTGACACGAAAACATAATTCAAAAGCAATCACACGTTAACTAATAATAACGAAATGGGAATACGTCTTTAAAGTGCTAAATATCAAAATAAATACTAAGATCCTGAGGGTCCATAATATCCTAAATTGACTGCACACATTGACATCACAAAAGGTACTCCGAATGTGTATAGAAGAAGCTTCCAGTCGTATTTGCCAAATTCAAACTGCTTCTGTAGATAAATGAGTCCAAAGGCGTTAATTGCTGCGACATTGGTCATAAGAAGCTGCTCAGCTACAAGTCCACATAGGAAGAAGGCATAAAACTCACACAACTCTCTGGGATACACGTGTTCTTTAGTGATTAGCATTTGAAGATGATCCATGCTGTGTGTCAGATTGAAAAGTGCGTCACACAAAGACAAGTAAACGACGAAACGCTCACATCGCATCCAGGAAAAAAAAGATCGCTTCTGACTCCGGAATGACGCAATGATGACAGCACACGCACTAAAAAGACTGAGAAAGATACAACTCAGGGCAGGAATGTGGATGAAAAGAAACCATTCTGTGTCTAGTCCATAAACATCTAAATCATATCCATCCTTTACAATTGTTCTTGGTCCATGTGTGTTGTTTTCCACTGAACTGTTTTTGGTTGAATTCAAGGCAAAAACTTTATCCATCAAAGTATTTATATTGATGGTCTAGTATATTCCAGGAATTCAGAAATTTGTCTCTTTTGGCTATTTTCCGTCAAGCTAAACATGCCTTGCAATAAAATAAAATTTGATTAGATACAAAAAAAAAACCAAAAAACAAACAAAAACAAAACAAAACAAATACCAAAAAACCCCATAATTCTCATGAAAAAAAAATACTTTCAAAGAATAAATAGTTTCTTAACTATTTTCTTTTCTATTTTTAAAGCTGTAATTCAGATATCCCTTTTAAAAGAACTTGGATATTGTTCTGTTCTTGCCAGACTAAGACTTTTAAAAAAAAACACCGAAGCTTTTTTCGGTAGTCAAATAATCACTAGCATAACTCTCAAAATGATTTTATTTACTTTTAGTAGCCAGGAACTTTTTATCAAAAAGACGTATATGTTGCTTCAATTGATCTATAATTATGTCTTTTACAAGGATCCTCTTGTAATAAACTATATATCAAGGTAGAAAGTAGTAAAACAATACTAAAACATATAGTAGTAAAGTGTGGATACAAATACATGTATATGTTATGTATAGTCGAAATCTACATGCTGATGTCGAAATTAATATCATTAAGTAATTTTTAATTTTACATAAGACTTTTTTTTATCCCTTATAACGAGTATAAATTCACAATAGCTCAACCTCATAAAGTAGGTATAGATCAATATTTCTTGGGAAATGTTAGATAAAACTTCTTTTTTTTTTTATATATAGAAACAATTAAAACATTGACATAGTAAAAAGTATCATACAAAGTTTATACTTTCCCAATGCATTCTCTCCAGTTAATTACTTTCAGAAATCCTAATTTCATGGAGCATTCATTCAGGATGATTGCATTATAGATTTCAGCGGTTTCAGGGGATTACCTACTTTTACTTAATAAGCAGATTGCAATATAAAACATCAAATACACTAGACAAAATTGCTAACGCACCACTCAGCATTCTAATTTGTAAACCGAACATTTACCTAATCTGAACGAGTAAATTTAACATGCCATCTTGTCAAATGCAGTCGAATTTGCCGATGCCACGGTGTCAACACAAAACCCTCAAATGACCTTTTTTGCCCGCAAATCCATTTTCAAAAGCCGATTGCGCACTGTTTTTGCACTGATATGAAGTTGTTGGTTTCCAATAATAGTCACTGAGATTGCAACATCAGTGGTATGTCTGTTTCTGTAATGATGAAGAGTGATGTGTCTATCACATCGCCTAAGTGTCAACCTTTGTTTTGGAATCCAAATCCGGTCTATCACACTTCCGGTTACAACAGTATACGGTACAGTCTTACAATAATTGTGTGATAGATATTTAATGCCGTGGCCACATACAGAAGACATATAGAAGACATTTTCGTATTTGTTAATCTAGTCACGGCATTTTTTTTTATAGAAAAAACGAAAATATTTAACTTGGGATTTTGTTTGTTTGTTTGTTTTGTTTTGTCTGTTTGTTTTACAAATCTTTCAAAAGGATCACCCTGCAGAGACAATGCTTGCTGGTCCACCACGCATAGGGTGGGAGATTTTTCTGAGTCTTTTATGATTGCTTACAAAAATAATGCAAATCAAGGAATAGCATAGAAATGTATTCCTTTATAAAGTGTGAGCACGATTTTTATGCATTTCTATGAAATTGTTAAGTGTAACATTGCATTAATTTATCAGTTTGGACATTTAAATAAATTACTTTTAACTAAGGTAACATATCCATTCAACAAATTCATCATAAACAAGTTTTGGAAAGGTAATCAATAATTTTGTCATGGTGGTGAGTTAATAATATCGTCTAGCGTATTCATAGACAAAACTAACAAAATTAATTAGATATCAAATTAAAACTTCAAATCACCTTTGTTCAGACGTTGTCGGAGGAGCAAGGTTTTTTCCTATAATGAGATCTTGTCAGATGGAGCCATCTGTTTTAAGACCATATTCCTTAATTGATTTACGCGCATAACTATATTCTTAAATAAAGGTGTTTGATCTAAGGAGGATTAATGCTATGTACTTCAGATTAACAGTTGACTGATATAATCTGTTGGACTGGAAAACAATCGATTTCAAATTGTCATTCTAGGAAGTGAAAAGCTACTTGAAACAGGATTGTCTTGTTCAAATATTGATATTCAATGAATGACCTTCATTCTTCTAATACTCGTTTAAGAGTATTAAAGTATAAATTGCATATACTCTTCAACTTTAGGTAATCTAGTGTACAAAATTCGCACTTTACATGAAAGAAGCTTACATATAAACAGTAAATTTTTACCAAAAGAAATTAAAGATAATGGTAGATTTTAAGCCAAATCCTTTTAAGGTATTAGAAATAGCAACATTCTATAAAAGGAAATACATTTCTGTGTTTGTATCTCTTAATTGATACAAAAAATTGAGAAAAATTGTCATAGTTAGCGTAAATCAAGTTTCGTCGATAAATGTAAAAATGTCTACTCGATAGACCTCACTTTATCCTACAAAATCTCTAGAATTCAGGAGCTTCCGGGGGCTGAAATTCACCCCCGGGCCCCCACCAGGGCTTCGCCCTGGACACACAGCTTGGGGCTTCCAGACCTCCTGCCTACTTCTTGCCCCCCCCCCCCCAATTCTTCAATTCTTGGATCCGCGCCTGCAAAGCATTTATAGATGCAAAATTTTCAGAAAGTTGCAGAAATTAATTTATCATGTGTATATAGTTTGTTTGTTTGTATGTTGTTTAACGTCCCTCTCGAGAATTTTTCACTCATATGGAGACGCCACCACTTTGTCCTATACTCGGCACTTACGGCCATTGAGCAGTGAGGGATCTTTTTCGTGCCAGCACCTACTGCGACACGGGACCTCGGTTTATACGGTCTCATCCGAAGGACCGGTCTCCATGTCCCACAGTGGGATTCGAACCCGCGACGTAAGGATCAACTCCTTACGCCGCGACTCTAGAGCAGACGCTCTAACCACTGCGCCACGCGGGCGACTCATGTGTATATAGTAACTCTACAATTAAAATTCGATGTTTCGTAATATGTAGATATTTTAGCATTTTAATATCATTTCGAGATTTCTAAAAGGGTATTCAAATTTATTTAGTCATTTTGTTACGCACCCCCCCCCCCCCAATCTGAAAGGTTTGATAGAAATTAGAACGAACCTCATTAGCAGATGCATCAAGTGTTTCTCTCTCACAAGCAGATCCTTAAAGGGCTTAAATTTCCTTCTGGTTTTCCATCAAGTAAAGATAGCGAATGTTTACAACGTTTATGACGTCGGTCATTGAACATTAATTCAAAATAAGCTTGAAAGTCTCCTTTGCATGCCATGGAGTCTATAACTCAGGGACTTGTTACACAGTCTTAATCCAACAGAAAGCTATCCCTTTTGTAAACTCCAGTAGAACCGCGAACCAGCCCTTGGCCACTCTTCTTCTGTTCTAACAAAGCAACAGTGGACCGCCTCCTCCCACACATCGAACAATAGTAACACAATAGCCGGTAGACCAGGTATGTAACCTTACAGCGACCAATAGATTTAACATGATCATTACTCTTACTACAATTAAGGATCCCCTTTTTATTTTATGTTTAACGTCTGTGAATATTACATTAATCACTAAAATTACAACAATGATTTAAAATATATCTATTAAATTTCAACCAATGATTCATGCATATGTTTTTGAAGATGTTTACACATCTGATCAACCAAAATATATCATTTAATCTATTAGACAAAAAACTACAACGAAAGTGTAGCGTGTGTAGAACGTAATTTGCAAGCATAAATGCAGTCACTGTACCTTTATTTGATGAATGTTTGAATTTTCCGAATCATCTTTAGTCGGATTGATTGTATACCATGCTATTTGCATCTCAACAACAGAAACAACGGCCTGTCGTTTCGTTAAATCGCCACTACCATGGGGTCATTGGGGAAAGGAATGAGATAAAATATTGCTACCTTTACCTCCGCAAATAGCAATATTAGTGCCTATTGTCAGTGCACCGTATTTCATTTAAATGCAATCAATTTTTTATTTGTCTCGTTGATAAGCTATATAATATCCCTTCAAGCCTGCTTAGGCTCTAAATTTATAGTATTTAGCAAAATGTTTGGTTCCTGGTCCAGAAAATAGTCTGTGACTTGTAACTAGCAGAGTGAAAATTAACTACCATACGACTTCTTGCCGGGCACAAACTTGTCAAATATGATTCAGTACGTAGGTCCTTTAAATTTTTGGATATTTTATTTTTATACCTTATCACTCAGTTATTACATGAAGAACTCTTTTCGTACTTGTTGTCCAAGTCATCCTGTTAATACTACAGTAATTCGTTTCGCACCCAATTTCCACATCAGTGACTACTGCAACTGATGCAAACCGAAACAATTCAATTTTGAGAAAGGTGGACAGAAATAAAAAGAATAAAAATGTTCAATGGTTGTGTTGATTTGAGCATTTCAGGATAGCAACTCTACACGTAGTTGATTTTGATTTGGAGCCTCAACGTTATCATACTGGGCATTTTGCCAAGATTAAAAAGCAATAAAGATTGAGTTCACCTCACTGAACTATCAAAGGCATCATTCGCAGGAATTCATTGGAGATATATTTACATTAAACGTTTAAATCTAAAGTTTAAACTTATCAAAAACTGTCTAGATAGTTATAGATAAGTTTAAACTTTGGATTTAAACTTTTAATGTAACAATATGACGCACACATCGAGATACAGCTGGCGAAGATGTGTTTTCAGAGGAGATTTTCTGTTTTCGCATTGAATTTTTGTACAGATAAACATGTAAAGGTAAAAAATTGGGGAAAATGAAAAATAAGGCTGGTTTGATAGGGATATTTCGTGATAAATATGTGTTTTACCATTATGATAAAACCCGAACATGCTGCTTTTACAAATTTCTATGTTATATTGTTTTGAGTATCATACAGGGTGTTTCACAATATATGTCAAACATCTAAATGCAGAAAGAAAAAATACAACAAAAGCTACATATACATTTTATATACCATTTTAATCAGCAAATATTCAAAATTATTATTTTAAGTCAGAAGTATCCAACATTCTCCATTTCAGTTTCTATGGCAACGATTTCCTAAAATGTTATACTCAAAGTGTTTTCCTCACCATTGTCCTAAATATCTTAAGAGACTCGTGTTCAGAAATTTCTGACCACTACTTCGTATGTTTCACAGGATACTGGACAAATTTTTTGTTTTATATCTAGCTTTTTAGAACCCCCCACAGTGCATATTTATATTTTTATTTAAAGATGCATTTAAATAAATGTCTTATTTCAGAACTACTGGTGTGTGCTGACGTCCACTTCTCTCGCTCTTCCTTTCAATCAATTTTGCAAACTTAACCGACTCTTGTATGTCTTTAATTGATTAAATAAAATACAATTAAATGCAAAAACTGAACTCACAATTTTATTGAATAAAAATGTTATTAATACATGTAGATACAACTCAGATTCTGGCTGAATGATATGAAGAATAGCTCGTGAAATTAATATCAATAAAATGATTATCATGGCAACATAAAATTAATCTTCAGTAAGATTCGGTCACACACACACACACACACACACACCCTCACACACACACACACACACAAATGTAACTTTGAATTTGATTCTTTGTATGCTTTGAATCTGTACATTTGTGAAATTAAAATATATTTTTCTAACAAAAAAATGCAATTTATAAATGTCAAATTCGGTTTATTCAGTAGTTTGGGTTTTGTATTAAAATTATGTTTAAAGATAATTTTCCCCTGGAATTCTGATTTTTGTTATGCATGTATGTGCCAATCGTTCTGAAAAATTATCGTAAGATAATTTTGAATAAAACAGTATTTTCCAAACCAGAAACTGTAAACATACTTAATTTAGCAGCAATAACATTTTAGCGACTTTCGCGCGGCTCCTTTTTGACTAATTCAAGTACACACTTATGCTAAAGAATATGCTTATGATTAAGCAAATACATATGAAAGCTTGACAAACAAATGCGCAAATCATTTGATGAGGAAATATTTTATGTACGTTTACAGCAATTTTGTTCGCAAGAAAAACTCTCTAAATAACATACCCGGTATCTGAAGAAAAGGTCTTAAAGTATTAAACATTTGTGTCTACAATGGAAATGGAAGTGTTACTGTTTCCTACTCCAGAATCTTGAGACATCTGACTCGAACTCTTTGCTTTAGAGCTGTAATTCTGATTTCTTCTTTTTTTAATGATGATGTACACAGCCCCATTTAACACACCACCGAGGTTTGTGAACACGACAACCACAGTGAAGAACTCCTGTGGCACCACCGCAAAATTGTGCCACACACTGATGATTGCAAGGGCCCACCACTGGATAAAGAATGCAGCGACAAAGAGACTCATTAATTTGGCTGCCCTGTGAGATGCACGCAGCGTTTGAGCTTCTTTTCCAAGCACTGTCTTAATCTGCTTGGATTCCACGTGGATTTTCCACCAAGTGAGGATATAGAGAACCACGTTTACAGCCAGGATAACAGTCATCGGGATGGTTATAAAGAAAACGCTGGCAAATGCTCCTTTAATACCATCAAATGCACAACTGTAAATTAAAAGAAAAATGGAAGCCCATTTTCATATTAAACATATCTGAAGGCTTTTGGAAAAAAAATCAACATTACGTATTTTAAAAAACTAAGAAAATGCTATTACTAAGATCCTGAAGGCCCATAATATCCAAGATTTACAGCTATTGTTGACAACACGAATGAAAACCCAAAAGTATACAAGAGAAGCCTCCAGTCATATCTGCCGAGTCTGAACTGTTTATGAAGATAAATCAAACCAAAGGCATTGAAAGCTGCCACGTTGGTCATCAGGAGTTGTGCCGTGACGAACTCTCCGATGAAGAAGGCATAGAATTCGCACAACTCTCTGGGATACACGTGTTCTTTTGTGATGACCATTTGAAGATGGTCCATGCTGTGTGACAAATTGAAAAGTGCATCACACAAAGACAAGTATACGACGAAACGTTCACTTCGCATCCAGGAAAAGAAAGATCGCGTCTGGCTCCGGAATGACGCAATGATGACGGCGGACGCACTTAAAAGACTGAGAAAGATACAACACAAGGCAGGGATGTGGATAAAGAGGAACCATTCTGTGTCTAACCCATAAACATCTAAATCATATCCATCCCTGGGAGCCTTCTTTTCTTGCAATGTTACGTTTTCTACAGAAATGTCTCCCATCAAACTCAAGGTTGAAATTTGATCCATTAGAAAAACATATGCTAGAGAACCTTGAAGGGAAAACTGTAATACTTCGAATGAAAGCGTCTTTCTTGGTAGTTTGAATTTATCTGCAAATGAATACCGTTCGACCTAGAATAAATATAGGCAATCCTTCGTCCTCGTCAAGTAAATGGTTCTGGATAGCTAATATTGTTCTAATTTTTAAACAAAAATCCTATGGAGGTTTGTAATAAATCAGGCTTGATTCAACATGAAAGACATCAGTCAGACCATATATCGTCGTTTCATTAAATTGCCACTTCTGGGGACTCCTTGTGGGACAGAAACAAGTAACCGTGCAGTGCTACATTAATCTCTACTTTCTAGTAATCATTATAAAAGTACATCATTGTTAATGCATAGTTTTCTCTTCACAGAAATCAAAATCATATTTATCGCTTTAATAAGCTATGAAATTTATCTTTCTTAGACTCCGAGATTTTACGATTGTTGATAATTTATGGATAAATATCGATTTTAGAATTAAGAGACCAGCATATTTCATTTCGATGCATTCTTGCTATGTAATTAAAACTAAAAGGATCAAGGGAATTTCACATTTGAATACTAGTATAATGACTTTTTTTAATTGTAAGATCAGCCGTGTTCATCAGAATTTCGATCTTTTAGTGAAGGTTTATGCAAATGTCGGAATACAATTAAAAAGCTTTTGGTATACCAATACAAAAAAAAAAAAAAAAAAAAAACAAAAACAAAACAAAACAAACAACAAAAACTTGTGATATTATTGTACTATAGTACATGTATATCACAAATGATATAGTAGATGTTGATATATTCGAAGGTATAAATGGAAGTGATCTGTGTTTCAATGTTCTTTTTTTTTCAAAATCCGATGAAAGTAACCTTATATTCCACTCAAGCTCATAAATGATTATACTTTAGTTAAATAAATTCATATTAAATTACGATATTAACTTGGTTTTGGTTTTATTTTGTTGTTTTTGGTAGAATGAGGGAAAATGAAGAAGATCTTTTTCAGTTTTCTTGAGAGAAAGGGGAACTTTTAACAATTTTTCTTCCTGTCAACTAACGTACCTTATGAATGGACGAAGTTTTTTTTTAATCGATAAAAAGACTACGGAAGTTCAATTTGTGTATATAGTGGCAGAAAAAAAAAATATACACGTTTGAGTTGCAAGAATTAACTTTCAGTGTTTTTTAACCAAAAGTTAGCCTAGTGGCCAATAATCTACTCTAGATAGTTTGATTTCAGTATTTCAATACTTTTGATAACCTTTGATAATATGCCCCAAGAACATGTTTACAGTGCATGCAAGGGATATGCTCCTGCTTTAAATTACCTCTGCGGGTTCCCTGACATTTTCAGTATTGTAGTCGTAGAAATAGTAACCAATCCCATGCAGTAGAATAATATAGATGTCGTTAGCAATGTTGTGTTTTAGATTAAATTGTAAGAAGACCTTGCAGGTGAATTTTAGAAAAGGTATTTTAGGTAATAAAAAAACAGAAGCAGGAGATTCAAATAAGAATAAGATCATTATAGTATGTTTGAAACTTGAAAACGACCTTCCTTAACTTTTATATTTTGATTCATATACATGAAGATTGTGAATGTCAAGTAACAAATTCAGATAAAGGACTTAATTAAATGTTTGGCTTGTCTTTTTAAATCAAATACAAAAACGTAAAAATATATGAAAAATATCAATTTTGATTCAAATATTGTTTTCAAAAGAGAGGATGGGCTTGACGGGCATCAAAACTTTTTTGTTCTGACTACTTCCTGTCAAATGTGAGGTTCTACTTCTGTGATATTCTGTAGAATAATTCTGTATCTTTGTCTCAGAAAATAGGTCTAGAGGAACCAGTCAACTCCCATAATGATTCATTCCTTACCTACAATAACACAGCATTGGTTCTACTGATCAGCTTTATTCTGCAATCCCCAGATTCAATATTTGTTTCTTAGTTGGTTTTTTTAAATAATGAATTAGTCAAATATTACAATAGGCAGACTTATAAACATATGCATATGATTGAAGGTATCAAATTTTACACGCAGAGGGTTAATTAGGGTATATTTGTGATATACATACAGTGACTTTTTGTACAACATTCGAAATAAAAGGAAGGAATTTTTTTTTGGTTTCTTTTACATCCTTGATATTTATGTTTTGTTGGATCCGATAAAATGAGTTGATTTTTGTTTTTGACAAGCACTTATTGTTTATTATCATTATCATGCTAACAATTATTTTTCTAGATGTTCAAAGATAAAGAGAGGGGATTTTAAAATAAATGCATTCTATTTTTCAAATGAGATCAACTTAATCTGGGCCATGTTTGAACTTCATGATTTAAGAAATTTAATTCATTTCACAACATAGTTAAAGATATGATGCATTCTTATTATGTGATCATCTTAGAACTGGTCTGTGGATTAAATCCTTTGTTCAGGGAATAAGATAAAAATAAGAATAAAAATTCATAAAACTTTAGTAGAGTGTTAATTGCTCATTAAAACAATGGAAACAGCTTGTCTGCTAGGCGTCTATATATTGAAAAACAGCATTAATTACCCTTATTCCTCAAACAGAGGCTCAGCTTAAGTTAGGAATGTGAATGAAGAGGAATCATTTTGTGTCTAGTCCATAATATCTAAATCTTATCCATCCCATAGAATTTTCTTTTCTCTCTTGTGCGAAATCGAACAGATTAAGGACAGAAACTTGATTCGTTTGAATTAACGTACTGGAGAATTCCGAGAAATCCAAATATTAGGATGTCTGTCTAAGGTTAAGGCGCGACTTCGTTTTGAACTCATTTGGAATTGAATGACATTTGTCCTTGAATAAATACATGTAAATCCCTTCCTCGTCAACCAAACGCCCTTGGATAGATAACTATGCTTTTTTATTCTGTGATGAAATTCTACAGAGGATTCTTAAAGAACAACGGTAATTTATATTTCGCCACAAGAGAAAAAAGTGCAATTTGCAAAAACCTTTCCATTCTGTTGTTACTACAGAGAAATACGGGATCAGAGAAGTAGAGGCTTATTGACAGCTCAATATTTAATCTCCATTATGTATGATAAAAGATAAATTTCGTGCGCAATTTTTTCCATTAAAATATTGATTAGAAGAAAAATTTTCCAAATAGAATTTGTGAAAAGATATGTCACAAATTCATAAAACGACCCTAACTTGACTTTTTTTTACTTCTATATATTAATAATGATGGAGAAAAACAGGAAACGATATACATATAGAATATCAACATAAATCCATCATGATGAGAATTATTTTATTTCATTATCTTCCTTTTTTTTTTTTATCTCTTATTGTATATTCAAGTAGTACGCAATATTTATCATAAAAAAAATAAATTCTAAATTGTATATCTTTTTTTCAGTGACATTAGAATATAGACATTTAGATATCAGTATCAAACTGACTTTGAAAATAAATCGTTGGTCACTGTTTGACATCCATTCATATAGAACTTTAAATAATCATATGTTTTGACTGCAAACAAAATGTGAATAATTACATGTTCAAAGGTTAGATAGGACACCTATACCGTATTCTGTCCCTTTTAAGATCAATTTCCAGTGACCTAAAACCGGTGATCAAGTAACCAAAGTTTCTATATTTATTTATCATAGTATTGAAACACTATTCATCAGATTCAGTACCGAGATTGAATTGTTTAAATCTAAGAGATACTGCATTTTGGGGTTTTTTAATGTATAATTCGGTTAATATCATACAGGTATTATTAACAAACGAGTAAGGAGTTATTGACATACGGAGTGTTCAGACCCAACACTTGATTAATCTGTACATTCATTTAAACAAGGTATCGTCCGCGCACCTGTAGTTAGATGAAACTTTGATTGATAAAATCGGCTCCAAAATTTATGGGCAGTAGCATGTGCAAAAAAAATCTTCATGAACTTTCTGCATCGAATACCTTTTGTATTTTTCACAAAGGAATACTTTTGTTGATGCTCACGTGATCAGCTTTTTTCTTTGACTTGACATGATTGAAAAAGTGAGTAGAATTGCATAGATGTTAATTCAAGGGCATCTTCGTCAGGTCAGATTATCCTGTACAGACAATAGCAATCTCTGACATGCATGATAAAAATTCTAACTTACTTTTCAATATAATTTTTCAATATATTTTTATATCAATGCGTAACTTCGGAGTACTACTATCTCAATCTATCCAAAGAGATCTCTATAAACATATTCTTCCATAGTTTTCAGTACATTGTTCTCTATCCTCTGCATTTGACGCCTCAGCAATATCATTGATACTGTTGATTTCTTTATTTCGCAAGCGCTGTGCAGTGGTTAAAGCGGTCAGTTCTAGAGTGGCGAAGTAAGGAGTTGATCCTTATGTCTCGAATTTGAATCCCATTGCGGAACACGGAGATCAGTCCATCGGATAAGACTGTAAAAACTGAGGTCCCGTGTCGCAGAAGATGCTGGCAAGAAAAAGATTCCACACCGCTTAATGGCCATAAGTGAGGAGTAAAAGTCAAAATGTGCAGCCTTTCACCGGTAACCGTTGGCGCCCCAATATGAGAAAAATTCTCGAAGGAACGTCAAACTAAAACGCAACAAACCAACCAATCAGTTCTTCAATGGACCATTGAATACTTTCATAAAAGTTTGTCGTGTAGGTATTTAAACCATACATCAAGTTCACAGTACCTGTGTGTATTCAACAAAGTTATTTGCAGATGACCAATACAAGCTAAGAAAATTTTCGAGTTCCAGTTTTATTGCAGGAACGGTTGTCTGCGATGTCAAAAAGTCTTTTCTTTAATTTATCGTGAGGAATGCTTGTATTCGAATAAAGTGCGGAAGTCTTTAGCTGCAGATCTGTAGCTCGCTGGTCTGAAAAAATTGGGATGGACGACCAGAGAGCTACAGTGCCACCCATTGAAAAAAGTGTGTATTTATTGCGCACAAAAAAGAGCGCTGTTTGTCGATTAATTTCTCTGTATATATATAACATTACTCACTGTGTGTTCCTAACATATTCTTTCATTACTTCCACAACAAAAGTATATGTACAAGTCATGTACGAAGCGCAGTGGACCGAATTGTCTTGTCACCAAAGATGGCAGTATTTTGCGAAATTTTAGATGGTCTCAATTTCAAGCCCAGGAAGGCTATTTACAACGGTTTGGGGAAATGTTTTATTGTGGAAGTAGTGAAAAAATATGTTAGGAACACACGGTTTGTAATATTTTGAAATGGTAGTTTAATTATACGAGGAAAAAAAAAAACAGCGCATTTTTTGTGCGTAATAAATACACACTTTTTTCAATGGGTGGCACTGTAGCTCTCTGGTCGTCCATCCCAATTTTTTCAGACCAGCGAGCTACAGATCTGCAGCTAGGAAGTCTTACGTTTTGATGTTCTTGACTTTGGAAACATTTTGTGATTTTAAATTTTCTAACAGTTCTCTAGGGTTTTTGAGAATTCACATTTCATTTACACCACCTCCTGAACATTGCAGCACAATACGTCAAAAGTATCTCCTACACAGCAGTTGATATTTTGTAAAGAGTAAAGATGGGGGCTTCGTTTACTGGACCCCGTGATGTATCATTGTTTTCAAGAAGTTTATGAAGTTTTGAAATCCAGTGTAGGTACGGTAGACCAAATTCACTTCCGCTGTCTGGATTGTTAAAGCGTTCAAAAAGAAACGTGATTTTGAAGAAATTTCATACTTTGAAAGGGAATTGTGAGTATAAGTTGGATTACCAGATGTGGAATTAAAGTCAAGTTGTTCTTAAGTGCAGTTGTTATAAAGAGCCTTACAAACAGATCCTATAATGATAGAAGTTTGTCAGCTAGAACCATAACGTATTGTTCATGTAGTCTATCTATTTTTTTTATCACTTTATGTCCACTGAAATGGTAAGGATAGATAGTGTGCATTTTCCTTTTTAGTGTGGAATACGATTCTTTAATATGCTTCTAATATTTTTAATATATTCTGATAAAGTATCGAAGTCTTCTCTCTCCGATTTGGCCTCTGGTATTCTCTTCAACGAAGAAATGAAGTACTATCGTTAATAGATAGGGAATCTCTGAATTTTGGACCTTTTAAAATGATTGCTTTCATTCTCACCTACATTTACATCATCAGTAATGATGTGTTCTACCGTATTTAAGTTAAAAGAAGAGGAAGAACAGGAAAACTTGGGAGAATCTCACAGTAGATGGCCAAAATCTACGTATATTTTGTTTGTACTTGAACAGTTTGGATAGAAAAGTTAGGGAATATCTGTAGGAAAAGCAGGATGCAGACTTCAACTTAACAGTCGGGCTGATTCGTAATTATAATCTTCCACAACATTTGGCGGTTAAAAGAGCTTTTGATGGGCAACATCCATAATCAAAAACACTAGTCTAGCTGTATTCTGCTGTTGAAGAAGGAAAGAACGGACTCCCTTTAGCTTGTTTGAATAATCAATTTCAAAGTCTCAAAGGAACAGAGTAAATTTTTATGCGAATGTGATGTAGACCTAATTGTTTATTAATGAAAGATTAAGGCAATATTCTAATGAGACGTGTTTATTTGGTTTATTGTATGGTCTATATAGGATGGCAGTGTCCAGTTTGCTGATCCAGTATTCTTTGCTGGAATGGAGTACTTACAAAGGGTTATTTGTGGAATGGTATTTTTTCTCTCCAAAACTCTCACCGTCATTGAAAAGGAAGAATGGTCGGCGGGATGAAAATATTTATAAAAGAGTTGATGATCCCCATTGTCTATTTCAAACCTGTGCCCGACATTTCAGTGTTGAGTGAATCCCTCATTTCTCCAATATAAATGAGACCACAAAGATTGCAGACAATTGCATATATAATATTTTTTAAAGTAAGATTTTTCAAGTTTTATTACGAAAACCTTTTTTTTGTGAAGTTATTATATGAATTTCTGGTTATCAAAAATTCACATTTTTTCTTCATTTATATAACATTTGTATAACACAGGGATTCGAAAAGGAATCGTCAAAAATATCTCTGAATGAAAAGTTACAATCTTTAGCTTCAATAAAGGTTTGGTTTGTTTTATATCGAACTGGTTATTATGACAAATTTTTTATGGTGCGAAGGAGTATCCGAGGGATACTAACTGTTCTGTTAGAGTCTGTACCCCTTATATACTCAACATAGTGACACCTTTTTTTATACTGGGTATATACTGGGTACGTGTCAGCCAGGGTGGAATTGATCATCTTTCCAATACCCACAACAGATTATGTACCGAGTGACAAGTATCCTCGGAGACATGCTGTTCAACAGCAGTGATACACGCCGCTCGTATCTTAAAATAAAAAATAAAATGAAGATAAAGACCTGTAATCAATCTCATAAATTCAGTACACAATACAAATGGTGAATAGGACAAAAACATGGACCCTCGAAACACAAGAGATAGAATCAGGGCTTCTAGGAGGAAGCCGGTCACACTTGCCATTAGTTCTCCGTATTGATCTGGTAAACGAAGTAATCCATAGACCATATTAGTATAAAAACAAAATTAAGAATTGAAGATTGTTTAACACATGAAAAACTTAATATATATAACAATGCATAATTTTTGAATTATATATATGTGCTGCCATATCAATTTATGGAACCTTCCATGAAAAATAAATACATACTTCTTACAAATGCATTGAAAAGGAAATGTTTGACACCTGATGGAATTAGTGGTATGGATTATTTCAATTATTGCTTTTATCATAGCATGCAAATTGTCCTTTTCTCTCTCAGGTAAAAACGATATTTGAGAAAAAGAATTATAGTAGCCGATATTGAAACAACTTGAAAACTGAAGCAGTTTTTTTTTCTAAATAAAAACGGTCTACACACTGCTACATGTATATGCTGTATATTCAAAATGTCAAACTTTCCCTATGATACATCAACAAAAAAAGTTGGACGAAACAAACTCTGTTTTAAGCACACCAAAAAAAAAAAAACATAGATAAATACTAAAATACATCATTGTTTTACATTGTTGTGTCTACAATCGAAATGTTAATACCCGTATTACTATTTCCCACGCTAGAATCTAGAGACATCTGACTACAATTCTTTGCGATTTTAGAGCTATAATTCTGTTTTCTTCTTCTCTTTATGATGATGTACACCGCCCCATTTAACACACCACCGAGGTTTGTGAACACAACAACCACAGTGAAGAATTCCTGTGGCACCACCGCAAAATTGTGCCACACACTGATGATTGCAAGGGCCCACCATTGGATAAAGAATGCAGCGACAAAGAGACTCATTAATTTGGCTGCCCTGTGAGATGCACGCACTGTCTGGGCCTCTTTTCCAAGCATGGTCTTAATCCTTTTGGATTCTGTGTGGATTTTCCACCATGTTAAGATATAGAGCACCACATTTACGACTAGGATGAAGGTTATTGGAACAGTTACAAAGAAAACGCTAGCAAGTGCTCCTTTCACGCCATCAAATAGGCAACTGTTTAAAAAATAAAAGAACAAATAAATAGAGTTGCGACTCATTCAAAAGCACATGTAGTAATTTGATTTTAGAGGAAACAAGTTGATATTAATTAAAATACAACTTTAAGAAAAAACAATTACTAAGATCCAGAAGGGCCGTAATATCCTAAATTCACGGCACACATTGACATCACAAAAGGTACTCCGAATGTGTATAGAAGAAGCTTCCAGTCATATCTGCCAAGTTTGAACTGTTTATGAAGATAAATGAGTCCAAAAGCGTTCATAGCTGCCACATTAGTCATCAGAAGTTGTGCAGATACAAATTCACAAAGGAAGAATGAATAAAACTCGCACAACTCTTTGGGATATACGTGTTCTTTTGTGATGACCATTTGAAGATGATCCATGCTGTGTGTCACGTTAAAAAGTGCGTCACACATGGACAAGTAAACGACAAAACGTTCACTTCGCATCCAGGAAAAGAAAGATCGCGTCTGGCTCCGGAATGACGCAATGATGACGGCGGACGCACTAAAAAGACTGAGAAAGATACAACACAAGGCAGGAATGTGGATAAAGAGGAACCATTCTGTGTCTAACCCATAAACATTTAAATCATATCCATCCCTGGGAGCCCTCTTTTCTCTCTGCGTGATGTTCTGTGCCGAATTATTCCTTGACGTATTAAATACAGAAACTTGATCCATTTGAAGAGATTATACTGGCTATTTCCTAGGAATACAGGAGATTTCAAGGAAATCCAAAGATTTGGGTGTCTGTTTAAGATTAAGGTGACTTTGTTAACCGTTTTAAACTCATCTGGAAACGAATGACGTATGTCCTTGAATAAATACATGTAAATCCCCTAGTCATCAACCAAACGCTCTTAATAATTCTGTGATGAAATTCTTCAGAGGTCTGTTAAAAAACCATGGTAATTTATATTTCGCCACAAGAGACTACACTTTGTTTACAGTGTGCAATTTGTGAAATGCCTTTCCATTCTGTTGTTACTACAGGGAAATTTAAGTACAGAAAGCAAAGAGGCAGAAGCTTATTGCTAGCTCAATATTTACTTTCCACAATTTAAGATAAAAGATATTGTTCGTGCACAGTTTTTCCGTTTAATATTGATTACAAACATCCCCCCAACTCAAATTTTGTTAAAACATATGTCGCAAACTCGCCCCCTTAACATAATCTAATTCATTGAATTTTGATTTATTTGATAGTTGTTCTCTGAGCATTGCATCTTCATTGTATTTTGATGTATAAAGGAATCAAATGTGAATAACATGAAAGAAAACATTTACATTGCACTGCAAATCTCGATGATTGATGGAACATGTCTTGAATTTGGCAAAATAACTAACAGTGATCGATCTCAAAAAATCTGCAAACAATAAAAATTTGTGAATAGGGAATAAAACACGGACCCCCGGAAATTCCAGAGGTGGGATCAGGTGCTAGGAGGAGAATGCATCCCCTGTCGGTCAGAACCACCGTGAGCCCTATGTGTTGATCGGGTAGACTTAATATTCCGTAGTCAAATTAAGTATAAATTAACCTAACAATGAAACACGTCCGCCAAAATACGGCCCTGTGATAGGTTGTATTTTTTAACAAGGTCGTTATATCGATCATAGAATTTACGAAATGCAGACTTTAAAAGAGATTATTGAAATAATCCCTGAAACATCAACTTATCTGTCAGTAGTCTGCCTCGGTAAGTTGATGGCACTTGGAGCATGCTCTTGAGTATCGAATAAGTTGGGGACGTAAACACAATATGCAGTTGATAACGGAATATTACTAACATAAATAAGGAAAGTTGAGGATGAAAATGCTGAAGTCACCTCATTTGTAATACAGTTTAGTTGTTAGTAGCCTTTATCGTCTATAGTCAGTAAAACATCTTAATATAAAACAGATATGGTAGACTCAGTAGTGTCTTTTTATTTCGAGTTTACTGGGATATATTGAGGCTAAATGTGAATGAAAGTAACTATTGTTAACGTCGAAGGCCACAAAAAGTGTTTTCTTCTCGTGTAGGAGTTTTTGAATAAATTCTATTTCGTGGGAATATAAAACAGTTCGGCTAATAAAGGAGCACAATTAGGTTCATCGGAATTCCAACAGTTTGTTGGAAGACCTGATCTCCAAATACAACATAAATGTTGTCAATGAGAAATTCCAGCATCCTTTTAATATCAACTTCAGAATACTTTGTGTAGAATCAGAGTGATTTTTGACAAAGTAATTTTGTTGATGACAAATTAAAAATCCTATTTTTATTGAAGAAGCACTTGTCCATATATCAAAAGCCTAATTTTTTATTTTATGGTGAGGAATGGTTATATAAACTGTAGAAAGTTTTGATGTAACTGACTTTTGAAAAATTTGGTGATTTTAAACTTTCTAAAAAGTTCTTTGGAGTTTCTGAGAATTCACATACGATTTAAATCCCTTCTTGAATATGCTGTAGCACAGTACGTCTGAAGGTTTTCCTTTACAGCAGTTAATTATTCTTGTAAAGAGTAAAAATGGAGTTTTGGTAGAGCATTTGCTGGACCCGGCAATGTAGTTTGCTAGGGTTTTTTGTTAAAGATTAGGAATCAATTTTTTTTTGGTACTTAGGCTGCATGTACTCTGAAAGATATAAGAACTACGTTAAAGGATATATTATTTGATATAAAATGATTGTTTGAAATATATAATGATTCAATACTTTGGATTGCTTCTAACTTGTATTGGTTCAGACCTTGTTCGTAGCTCGTCCTTTGTGAAAGCCACCTCAACAACTTTATTAAAAAGATAATCACCACCGTTTTTTGTGGTTTATATTGTTAGGACCTTCCTGTCTGATGTCCTTGATTGTGATGAATTTACTATAATATCACTTCTCATCGATGACAAGTGGCAACTCCCACTTAAAAAAAACAACAAAAAAAACATGAACATATTTTTATGTTTTTATGTGTATAGATCATGTTATATTATAAAATTTTGAAAAGATTAATTGAATACATGTGACTGATTATCATAAAGAAAATATAAGAAATAGAACAGACAGATACAGTTACAAGCTGTTTAACAGTCGGAAGGTAACATACTGTGTACATGATGGACCTGGACTTGGTGTGTCAAGGCAACACTGTACGTAACAAGAATTCCAAAGACTTTAGATAAACTCGCTCAATGGAAAATCAGAATTTTTTTATTATATTGGAGGAATACCAATTTTGAAGAATATTTTAGTTCTAGATTTTTTGTGCAAAAGAAGGTAAAAGCAAAGAGGGGTTCCTAGTAGTAGAATCTGCTCTATTATTATTTGATGAGAACTATCACCTTCTCTTATGGTGAAAGGTTCATGACCTTGAATGTTCATCAATAAGTACATTTATCAGATTGCGTTAGACACACTGGGTCATAATATACGATACGTATGTTAATAATTATTAAACAATTATTTATTTTTGAAAATTTTAATGAATTAATGGAACTGATATTCAAATAATAAATATCGTCTGTATGTTAATGTTTCCACCCGTCCTTCGTGAATTGTTCCTGAAGGAGTGATGGTGATGGATGAACTGGCTTACTTTGTAATCAGGCGTTATAAATATCTTTCAGAAATCGAAGGTTGCATTAGACCTAATTTGATGTGCATAATGAGTTGGTCATTTATGGACAGGCATATTAACCGCCTGAAAAACATAAACAAAATGTCAACTTTCTTAATTGGGGATAGACTATACGAAATGTCATGTTTTTATTCAGTGAGAGGAACAGAATAGAATAGTGAACTTGGCAAAAGTTATAATTCACGATTTATTTCTTAATCAATGCTAAAGAAAATAAATATAACTTCAATTGAGGATTTACCAAAAGAATTCCCTGATATTTAGATCGTTATTAGTATACGACATCTGATCATACCAATTCAAACTAAATGCAAAACATTGAATTGAAACTGCTTTAAATGAAAAAAAAAATAATCACTGGACATTTCAATGATTTTAAAATCAATGGTTTGAAGATTGTGGAAATGTATTCAATTTAAAATACATGTATATATAAATTATCAGTGTAATTAATGTAACTCACACTTTACCAGAGTTCATCAGACTGACCGGATGTATCTCACAGTGGTCCGGAATCATTTCAAATTACTTGATTTCAACATATCAATTCAAATGAAAACTGTTAATGACCAGAAGTCTCTGACGAGACTGTAGCTCTACTGGTTTGTACTTATAACAAAGGAAGATAAAAGTAGCACTTGGACTTGAAATAAATATAAAAATGATCCTTGGTTTAGTCTCTTTTTGTGGCAAAATTTATTGCAATCAGACTTAAACTGTAGGAGGAGTAGCCTTTTAAAAGAATTTTACAGAAATTTCGATTTTAGTATCCATGGCAACATCATTCAACAAAATCAAAAACAACAAAGACAATTATGTATCTCAGTGTAGTCTACTTGTGTGCCAAGTTTTATTCAAATCAGACCAAAACTGTAGGAGGAGAAGAGTTTTGAAAGTATTTCAAGAAATTTCTAATTTTAATAACCATGGCAACATCATTCATCGAAATCAAAAACTGATAAAGAGAATTATGTATCTTAGTGTAGTCTTCTTGTGTGCCATGTTATACTGAAATCAGACCAAATCTGTAGGAGTAGCATTTTGAAAGTTTTCAACAGAAATTTCTATTTTAAGTAACCATGGCAACACCGTTCATCGAAATCAAAACCGATATATAGAATTGGATATATTAGTGTAGACTTCTTGTGTACCAAGTTATATAGAAATTAGATCAAAACTGTAGGAGGAGTAGGATTTTGAATGTATTTCACAGAAATTTCTGTTTTTAGTAACCATGGCAACATTATTCATCGAAATCAAAAACCGATACAAGAATGATGTATCTTAGTGTAGTTTACTTGTGTGCCAAGTTATATTGAAATCAGACCAAAACTGTAGGAGAGTAGCGTTTTGAAAAATTGTTTAGACTACGGACTGACAGCTAGCCAGACGGACGGACGACGGACACCTTACTATCGCATAAGCTCTTCTGGTCTCTGACAAGTAGAGCTAAATATAGGGTTTAGTAATGTAGCTCTAGTTCTAGATGATTTTGTTAGCTCACCTGAGCCAAAGGCTGGTCGAAATTTTTTTGTAGTTACATTTTTCACATTTTCGTCTTCTCCAGAACCAATGGACCAATTACAACCAAACTTACAAAGCATTCTTGGGTGAAGGGGATTCAAGTTTGTTCAAAGGAAGGGCCATACCCTCTTTCAAGGGGAGGTAAATAAGAAATACATAAAAATGGGAGGGCCAGAAAAAACGAAACTTATGTGGAAGCTTCCTGACATAGTGTAGATTCAATTTTGTTCAAATCATGGTCCAGGAGGTATAGTGGGGCAGGCCGTAGGAAAGGGGGGGGATGGAGCGTGTTTCGAGGTTTTGTTTTTATATTTCTTATGTCCTTAACATAGAGAGGTTTGCTTTTATATAGCTTTTTCTTTATATACAGGTTGGCACTAATGGGCTTTGTAAGTAGGTAAAGTATAGCTTCTTACTTCACTTTAAATAAAGTAAAAGGATTTCAAAACAGAATGAAGAATTTCTCATTCTCATTCAACAAATTTTATACCAGCAATCCAAACTACACTTTCAAGCTCCTCACGGTTCTCAAAATAAGGGAAATATTTATCATATGGCCTATTAATAGCAGCTGATTAGAGCACTCCTACGATAATCAGTACTGTTTAATAGCTGAGGACTAGACGTCTAACTTTATTGATATTAATTATATATCCAGATCGAGTCAATTCTATTGAGTATTGAAACTTAAGGAGCATTAGATATTGACATTGTATAATTTTAGTATGGAGGATACAGTACAACCAATGCCATCTATTAACCAATAAGGCACATCATTAAGTGCAGAGCTGCATGACACTTGAGTATTTGCCTACAATTTTCGTATATCTAGGTCTTCAATTGTTGAACAACATTATAAAGGCTGACACTTTGTTAATGTAACCTCTTCATGTGTCAATTTTCAAACACACCAATACATCAAGACCACAGCTCATCTTTCAAAATAGGTTAGCACTGAAGTGGAAGAGCTGTCACTTTGTGGTAAAAAAAAATTATGTCATTTTATTGACATCTAAACTCCTAAATTTTTCTGTGTATCATTACAATGGCATCAAGTGAAGTTTTGACAATGTGGCATTTTTTTTAAAATTAAAAATGAAATTTGATAACACTAAATAAATCAATATTTTTTCTCAGAAGAGAATTCCTTTCTCACATAATAGTTATACAGAGATTAGGTCACACCTGAAGACCCAAACATGACCACAGATTTGAACAGAACCTGTAAATTGCATAGGGTGTTAAATCTTATAATATCTTTTACTTTGTCCCTTGCCCCCTAATTCGTCCAGAGTTTGTTTTCCACATGTATAATGTAACAGTATAAAATGACTTTGCTCAACTTTTTTTTTAAATTTGCAATTTATTGATGATGCAAATATGATGAAATTTAACAATGAATTGTTTTTCCCTACAGTAATACACATTCAGTACGAACAAGGGTATAGCAAATTCAGATATTGGGAAGTTTTTAGGGGTTGCCCGGCAAGATTCTTAACGATTCTTTGGAAGATTTGACAGTTATACTGAATTCCGATATAACAAATTTATAGATACAGCAAATTGGTTTTGTGTCACTTAGATGTTAAAAATATGAAATTTACATATCTTATAACAAATTGTTAAAGATCACATAACTTAAAATATTGAACTGACTTTATCTTTCCCTAAGTATTATGTACGAAATTCAATTATTCACAAAACTTTTGTTATTTAAGATATGTTTTGTATTAAATGCTTCCCTAACATATTCGATATCATGCTTGAAGTAAAGCATGTATATGTTATACTTGAAGTAAAGAACGTATATTGCAAATCTGCCATATATACTTTAACAAATTCATTATACGGATATAGCGAATTACCAGTATAGTGAAGCAAATTCACAGGTACCCTGGACTTTGCTTTAACCAAGTTTTGCTATACAACTATTATTATAATTGATTCTAATTTTCAATATTGCATACATAAAACAGGTCTTTTACACATATCATGTGAGAAAGTTTGGCACAAATTTATGAGATATATATATATATATATATATATATATATATATATATATATATATATATATATATATATATATATATATATATATATATATATATAATGCTAAAGTAGTATATTATAATTTACATCATATTTTATTATAAAAATAATGGAATGATTTTCAAAAATCTGTGAAAATCAATGCCTACAGAAAAAAGTTCTTTTACATACAGCATTGTACTTATAAAAAAACATGCATGATAAACAAATGAAAGAATGAACAATAGTAGAATGGGGTGGGAGTGTCAACTAGAAGACTCAGGATTCAGTAGCATAATCATTTGTTAAAGCTCTGTGGTTTTGGAATAATAAAAAATAAAGTACATCTACATATGTTCAGCTTCGCAAACTCAAAATCATTTACATATGTTAGCTATCACAAACACTGATACAGGTCCCCAAAAATGAAAGTGTTTTATAATCATACAAAATAAATATCCTAGATGAATTTAATAGCTCTTTTAAACTCGGGTTTTAAACACTTGAAACACAACAAATGAGAACATTGATTAAATCTTAAATGAAAAATAAACTGAAAAACAATATGCTACACATATCTGCTGATTACAAATATATTTAGATACACTATACACACAGTAATAATGTGTAACAGGAAAGGAGAAAATGTATGGCTGGACTGGGAATCAAATCAGGACCCCTGCATCACTAGTCAGGTGTTCTACCGTCTGAGCTACCCAGGCTGATATCCACAGTCCAAATCATTACATTCTTCCCTCCTTAAATTGTCTTCAAACATACAACCCAAGATCTTATTTGCACCTGGCAGGACTTTCACCTGCAAGTCCAGGGATGGTCAATGGCACAAAATTATAAAATAAGAAAGGAGAAAATGTATGGCTGGGAATTGAACCTGGGAGACCTGCATCACTAGTCAGGTGCTCTACCAACTCAGCTACCCAGGCCAATATCCACAGCCGAAACCATTATAACTGTAAATTGGAAGTCCTTGTCTCTTGCAATTCATTGAAAACATAAAGTAAAATATATACTATTTTCACACATTCAATAAGATAGGGATTCATATTTTAATGTCTTAGTACAGGTTCACCTATTTAATGAACACCACCCATACAGCAGGTAAACTTAAACTAGAACCAACAGTACTGTGACATCATTAATCTTATCATATGGTAAAATTAACCCACAATAAAAATTGCAGTATGGACATTGAATGACCTAAATATTGTGAGTTTGTTACTACAAGTCAGCTCATGTGGACCAGCCCTTAATTACACTATGTCTGTAGTTCACCAATTCAAAATTATTACCAATAATAAGTTTCAATCTTGTAGAAAGCAGACAAAAAAAGGGATTTCTACAACATGCTCAAATCAACTCAAAAACTAAGACAAAAGCAACATATGGTGGCATTATTATATATCCATCTATGTAGTTAGATCATGAAAATCATCCTTATCATCATTATTTTCCTCTAAAAAAAAACTAATGTTCACAAGTATTTGAGGCATATACAGTTCCAAACATCGTAAAATAATTCATATATTGCACTAGATTAATCTCAATAAGGATTCATTTACAGCCAGTAATGCCTCTTGAGCAACTTTACAATTCAGTATGAACATGGAAATGGTGATGGGGCCTGGTAAAGTTGAAGTCCCAGATATAAGTGGAATAGTTGGAATGCCAGTCCCTCAGGAAGATATCCTCCAGCTGTTGCCGGACGTCTGCCTGGGATTTGTTCTGATTGACCACCAACCCTATACCTCCAGTATCAATGAAGTAATCAGCAGACCAGTTAGATGTCCCTGTAATGGGCAGCATTGCTTAGTTTGATGTGAATATATATGAAGATACACAAACAAATAATATGCTCTATATTATGTCAAGAAGTTAGAGGATACAACTCTTTTTAAAAAGGATTACAGTAAAACACTCTTACAGTGAACACTCTTATAATGAATTGATGCTTTATACAGATTTTTATTGCCCACGGCTTTAAAATATATTGAAAACTAAAGCGATATAAGGATTACGTCTAGAACGAAGCAAAATCGTCTATCCATAAGACTTCATTATAAGCGTGTTTTACTGTACTTAGCAAACCAGCAACAACAAAACCACAATGCTCACCTGAGTCACCTTGGCCAAACAAACTTAAATCCATACACTGTGGAATTGTTTGCATAAAAATAAAATTGAAGTTTTGCCCTGTTATTTTTCAAAAATATTTTTTCTATAAATTTCCAATATATATATAAAATATTGATTCCCTTTTGAGTCCACACCCTATCCTAAGGGCCATGCTTCGAACAAATTCAAATTCACACAACCTCAGGATGCTTGCATATTAATAGAGATTCTCTGTAACCACTTTAACTTCTTTGCCACGCATGGTCACCGATTTTGATGAAACTTTGCCCATTATTACAACTTGACACCAGAAACATATATTAAATAAAACTTCGTTGCTATGTGTCTTGGTTGCCATGGTAACAGCCAGAAAAGTTGAAAAAATTGAGATTTTCAGCTTCTTTGAATCTTTATTACACCTTAATAAAGACTAAGAAAAACAAACAAACCATTCTCCCAAAAACATGACACCTTGTTGCCACTTATGATATAAAGAAACTATTTAGAATTTATCTCTTAGTAAGTGGTAACCATGGGTACATTTGGAATACATTTTAGATGCTGGAAAATGCTGAAAAACACTCAATATTCACCAACGATAGATGTTACATGATCAAAGTCAATCAACAACCTAAGAAAAACAATAAAAAATATTTGACCTTATGTAATTAGGTATTGGCAATATTATACTAAAAATAACTTTCATGGTTGCCATGGTAACACAGCGTAACCATGCAAAATCTGTTGCAATGATTGGGTTAATGCTACTATCTTGAAGAAAAACAATAAAATTCATGACTAACACATATGCATCCTTGGAACCTTGCAACACCGACAACATAAGAAAAATTGGGATTAAATGTTACTTTGCATTGTAACCATGGAAACAACGTATCAGTCGTTTAAAGTGATATTTTTTGCTCCTTTAGGAATTTACTTACCTTTTAATCAAGAAACATATTATTTGACTCACCTTGAATGCTACTTAACTGATAGAACTAAAGTTGAATATCATATATTGATAAAGTTTGTTGAAAAATACAACACTGTTGCTATGGTTACCAAGAAGGGAAAATGTTCAATTTTGTTAATTTTATATCAATATTAAACCCTATGTGCCAGCTTTTTGCATCCAGTTAGAGATTGGGTGGTAGTCAAAATTCAAAGTCAGGTTAGTTGTTCATATGTATCAATCATAAAAGTTTTGGGAATCTACTTACAAGGGTGCATATCCAAGGAAACAGAATATTTTTCAGATTTTTATGTATATTTTTCCAGCTAATTTCCATAGCAATGCTCTATTTAAAGAATTGAGTTTGAATTTTTTGAAATGTGAAAATTAGGGTAACACCAAAGCCTTTAAAAATTGATCATCAGTTATATAGAAATATGCTTTTTAAAAAGATAGGATAAGATTAAAACACTAAGAGAGTAAATTTAAAATCCTTTCGAGGTAAATAAACCATAGCAACCGTTGCCAACCTATAAGAAATATCATATTTCGTCCTTGGTATATGATACAAGGACCTCTTGTCTATTACTTGCTTGCATTTCAACCTATAATTGTTTTTATTCTTAAGTATATGACTTTATAAAATTAAATGAACAAAATTATTACTTTTGAATACTTTGTTTCCATAGTAACGTATGTAATAGTTGATTTACCAAACATGTTTATCATGCATTTAAGACATCAGGCCTTCAACTTTCAGAAACAGTCATTGCCACTTGTTTGCTTTGCTGCAAACGTTAACTGGGGGACTCTGAACATATTGAAAAATGCCATTTTTCAAACGTTAGGACATGTTGCTATGGTAACCATGACACGTAGCAACCAATTTTTGCCTGATTTGAGTTTACGGTATCAAAGACTTTTATCATAGAGAGTTTGGAGAAATTCTGAGACTATGCGTGCCACAGCTCCTACATAAAAGTTCAAGTCATTACAGAGAATGGCTCTTAATATATATATATTTTAGGAATGACTCTAATTCTTGGCCAAATTATTTGAGTATAACCTGGTTTGGGTCAGTTTACGCTTTATAATCCGCGAAGTGGATTATAAAACAGCGTAAACTGACCCAAACCAGGTTATACTCAAATAATTTGGCCAAGAATTAGAGTCATTCCTTGTAATTTAATTCTAAAATCATTAAACAACTGTGGGTGTAAAATTTCGTTGCTTTTTATTAGTTCAAATTTGCCGCTCAATAATACAACCCTAGTAACGGAAGTGATGGGAAGCAAGGGGAGGTAAAAACTGATACATAGTCCTAGCAGCCATGTTTTTTGTTTACATGTGGTAAGATCCGAGTTACAGTTTGAAGCTAAAGGTACAGTTATTAAATCTGGAATTTTCCATGAATCCCGAGGACTGGAGATGAGAGGATTGCATGGATACAGACGATTCAGCTGGTTGTCAGGGGGGGTGTCCCCATACCAAACCAGGTTATACAGAAATAATTTGTGTTCCTTTTTGGATATTAACCAATCAGAGGCTAGAATACAAACAAAATTAAATTATATATATATCATGGCTCTGCTGTTCTGGAGAAAAAAAATTCAACATATTTTGCAATATACTTTGATCCCCTATTGTGGCTCCACCCTAGTCCCTGTAGCCATTATTTGAACAAACTTGAATTTGCATTAATTGAATGCTTGCAAATGAATATGTCTGATCATGGCCCATCTGTTCTTCAGCAGATTTTTTTGTATACAGTCAAACCTCGTTATCTCAAACTCAATGGGACCAAGAAAAAACTTAGAGATATCCAAGGATTCAAGATATCCAGGGTAAAGAACTTCAAGAATGAGGGGTTGGGACTTCCAAATTACTTCGACATATCCATGGCAGGCGCGTAGCCAGAATGGAAGTGAAGTGTACGCAGAGAACGGGGGGATGGGGGGTGCTTTCCAACTTTCACTAATCAAAATTTTATTAATACGTTACCAAATTACCAGATTGAAAGGTTAGGTTTGGAAATAAGTGGGGGGGGGGGGGGGGGGGGGGGGGAGGCACCCCTCTGCCTCCTCCCCCTAAACTATGTCCCTGCTGGTGAGGGCCCAGAAGCTCCTAAGTTTTACCAAATATTTCACTCATTTTCTTGCAAAATAAAAAGATACTAGTTTGAAATTTAGCGTTTGTTTAGCAAATAAAAGACATATAGTAAAATTTATTGTTTTAACGCAAAGTTAACATATAGCAATATTTATTGTTTTATCGCAAAGTTAATACTTCCATGGAAAATTACTGTACTTGTAGTTTAGGCTAAATATTTAAACGGTATATATTGGTATCATAGACACTTTCTTAAACGTTCAAAAACGTGTATACTTAATTATTGATAACTATTAGCAAAAAATACGTATTTTAATCATGTACTAGTAAATCATGGCATTCAACGATGTGTTTGAATTTTAATTTCTCAAAGATTTTTTAAAATTAATGTCAATGTATTAAAGAACAGTTACAATTTAACGAATGATTTATTGGAAATTGGCAATGATTTAATAAAGGATTTCAATTTTTTTTTACACAGTCATATAAAATAAAATTTCAATTGAAACTGTATGATACAAAAATAATTCATAACACGAATATTTGTTGGATGAAAATGAGATTTTTTTCTTTGAATCTCCTCTCTCTCTCTCTCTCTTTTTGGTCAAATGATGTGTACGCACTTGCGTATTTGCGTATAGGCAGCTACGCGCCTGCATGGTATTCGAGATATCAGAGTACAAGATACCGAAGTTCAACTGTATTTTCCATGGTTAAACTCTGATCCCGTATTGTAGCTCTACCCTACACCAAAGGGTCATCATTTGAACAAATCTGAATCTACAATACCTGTGAATGCTTGCATATTAATATCAGTATTCCAATGTAAAATTTGATTCCCTATTTAAGCCCAACCCTACCCCCAAGGGTCATGATTTGAAAAATTTGGAATCTCAATTATTTCTGGAATCTTTCACATAATCCAGTGATTCTTGAGAAGATTTTTAAAGATTCCAGTTTAAAACTTTGATTCCCTAATTGTGGCCCGCCCTATTCCCATTGTATAAAAAATTTAGAATCTGCACCACCACAGAAAGCTTTCATACAAGTTTCATTTTTTCTGGCCCACTGATTCTTGAGAAAAATTTTTTAATTACCACATCCTATTTTTGCATTTTCTTGATTATCTTCCCTTGTAAAGGGACTTGGCTCTTTATTTGAACAATTAAGAATCATCTTTACCAAAGAAAGATGTGCCAACTTTAATTAAAATTGGCCCAGCAGCTCTCAAGAGGAAGCAGAAAATGAAAAGTTTACAGACGCACAGAAGGAAAATGGACACTGGACAACTGATGATCAGAAAAGCTCACTGGAGCTTTCAGCTCAGATGAGCTAAAACTGTGATTTAGCTCTGCATAGCCTTACAATTCTGACCTGTGGTCACCACACTTTGATTTACTTCTAGACTACACATAACTTACCCACTGACACTTCAAACACAAGGACTTCTAGGCTTAATAGTGTGTAAGCTATGATCCAGACATGATTTGTATTGGTATATATTTTTCAAAGTGATGCCACCATACTTTGTCATTTCAAAACACACACCCCTTCCCCTCCATCAAGATGCATTAACTGAGTGTCATGAATAAGGCTGTACGTGTCAATATTTTGATTTTCAAGAATGTATTGTACTGAAAAAATAACTTCCATTACATATCAGGCAGGCAGATTTTCTTATTATTCTGTGAAAAAGTTGGGAATTTCAATCACCAAAGATTATATCATATTCAATATCACTTTATAAAATATTATATCAAAATATTTTGCTCAATACACAGCCCTAATCATGAATGGATTGAGCTTATGAAAAGTGTAAAAAAAAAAAAAAAACAAACCTTCTTGTACCTACAAAACTTTTAAAGGCCAGCTGCCTCATCTTAAATTTATTTCTTGATAACTTACCTATATAAGCAGTTTTATCTGTCACCATATACTTATTATGATTAACTCGAGCATAGGGAATCTTTCTTTGGTCCTCAGTAAAAGCAGGGACCTGAAATATTCTCTGGAAAATAAAAGACAAGAGTATTTGTATTGTTTCATTTATTCAAACACTTTTTTTTAAATGACCAAATACTGTATGAACATTTCATATCTACAAACTAAGGAATCTTTGAATTGATCTTAATTTTTCAGTATCTGCATGTTTTAACAATGTTCTTTGTTAAAATTCTATTTTTATTTTCAATTGAATTCCAGCTTAAGTCACTACCAATGGGTAGTACCAAATAAACATACCACATTTATATCAATCTTGGGTTCCCAATAACTTTTTAATTCTGCCAATGACTTCAGATATTTAGGCATGTCTTCCCACGTGTGATTCCAGTGACTGATCAATAGGCTGACATTAACACCACGGTCAAAGGCAGCTCTCTTAAAGGCATCATCAATTACTGGCCAAAATCTTAAAAAAAAAACAAAAAAAAAACTTAGAATGTTGTTTCATTCAAATTAAAATTTGCATTTTAAATATTCATGTATATATATGTATAGATGAAACTTGTTATTTTGTTTTTAAACAATGTGCACATATGGCATAACAAGCTAATTCAAGGAATTAATGCCCCCTGTTAAGGACAGAGAAGGGGAAAGAGGATCGAAAGGACAAAGTTATTTGACATATTAGCCAGAAACAATTTGTAACAAATACTCTAATTATAGACAGTATTTAAGTGAATTTGAAAACCATTTTACACCAAATATGAATTTTTGACCTTAACCTTTTAACTTCAAAATAAATACATGTATGGGTCTTTCTAAAATCAAAAAGAGTCATCACCTTAAGTTTCTTTACAAAAGTTCAAAAAGAACTGAACTTATCATCTGGAAATCATATTACACTATAGATTAATTCTTGACCTTGAACTTTATGCTTTGACCTGAAAATCAATGAGTGTTCATTAAGTCATAGGGAGTGATGATATGAATTTCATTGTAATAGATTGTTTCCAGAGAAACCATGCAGAAACTATAGTGTACCATTTCATAAAATATATGCATATTTGACCTTGACCTTTGACTTTTGACCTCAAAATCAATAGCTCTTCAAGTCATAGGGAGTTATAATTGCAAAAGCTTCAGTACTTACACTTTTTTAATTCAGAAACGAAAGTGTTAAAGTACACAGACAGACCCAAATTAATATTCCTCACTTTTAGCAAAAGGAGATGACAAAAATTTCACCATTACAAAAAGTTCTAGTCAAAATTCCTATTTATCATACAAAAATAAGCTGATCACAAAAACAATTCTATACAAAAAAATTCAAATAATCACTTTGTGCATCCAAAGCACAGTTGTTATCAAGTTTTTAGATTCACTCACTTTGATTCAACAACAGAAGGGATCCACATTTTAGTTACTCTTTCTCATGCATGACAAGCAACTTATGGAGGTAAAATTGTAGAGCATTGTTACACTAATTTTCTTAATTTATACTAGTCATTTCATTTGATGAATCTATGATTACCTTAATCTTGCTACTGTAGAAGCAGAAATTTTCACGGGGTATAAAATGTCATTGATTTGTGAGCTATGTTGTGTGAGGATCAAATTTTGCTGTTTCAAAAGTCTTTTAACCATATTCAATATACAGTTGAACTTCATTATCTTGAACACTAATATCTCCAATACAACAGATAAGTCAAAGTGCGTTGGGAGTCCCAGCCACTTTTTTTTTTATGTTTTTCACCCTCATTATCTCAAATCCTCAGATATCTCAAAGTTAAATCTTGGTCCCATCTAGTTTGAGATAACTGGATTTGACTGTATATATGTAACCATATGTAAATTTCATTTGTTATTAAGAAATGAATGTAATATTTTTTTCTTTGACCGACGTATCAAAGAAAAAATTTGGACGGAAAACGTCATCAATGCGCGTAGCGCATTGATGAAAACATTTTCTGTCCAAATTTTTTCTTTGATACGTCGGTCAAAGAAAAAAATATTACTTTCATTTCTTTTCATTTAATTATGATTTTAAAATAATGAAATGAAACTTTCCTTCAGTTTATTATAAAAATTTACGCATCAAAAACAGTGCGTAGGAATATATCACAGCAATGTTGAAATTCAATATGGTTATAAGGCCTAACGAAGAAACAACGTTCTCAACATGTCGTGTCACTACCAACCTTTTCTAACAATGATTAACAGTTCTTTAACACAAAAAACTTACCTGTTGTGTTATTAATTTTTTGCTATATCCCAGTGGGCATATTTTCCCCGGTAAGCTATCTAGGTTCGTAAATTTAAAGGGATGCTACTCATAATCCTAACAACTCTTTCTATAGGTCACAGAAATTTTTGATTTCAATTGCGCATCTCTTCATCTGAATTTCAAACCAAACATATAAATATGTATCACAACCTGTCCATGCTGTAAAATCTGAAAGGGTCTGTTGCCTACTGTTTAACATTGAAATAATTCCATCCTCATTCATGCAGTGTTGTTTTTATCGGTCATTCGATTCCTAAGAATTAACAGATCAACGGCATTTCCCCGCTTTGGTAGCATAAAAACATTTCTTCACAGTTCTATTGTTCATACCAGTTATCTCAAAGTCAAACATTTAACATAGGTATGCTGATTTCTTTCCTTCTTTCCCATTACTGTATTGTTGTCATGCAGACGATCCGATTGTTTAGCAAAGGGGGATAATTAAAAAAGAAACGAAAGTAGAAAATAAGTCAGGAATGTAACGGACAAGTTTCGAAATTTAGGAAAATATCTATTAGAGAAAAAGTATTTAATTGTTCCTTCATGAACTTCTGGAAGCGGGAAATATACATGTAAAGACAGCCAAAGTAGTCCCGGCTGCTAAGTGCAAGCGAACTCCAAATTCTATTGATGCAGTTATCAAAAGAATTCTTTATCCAATCAGAATCAATTATTTTATAGAAATTAAATGATTTTAATTTCATCGATAACTGTTAACAATTTTAATCTCCAACAAATATTTTTGCTTCAACAGTATATATCTATTCGTGTATAATCTTAAATTTAAAATTATCAACAATACTCATTATGTTACTAAAGGAATCACCAGTTCAAATTCTCACTATTAAACTTAATGATTTTGCAAATCTTTTTTTAAAGTATATGCATGATATGGAGATCCTATAGAGTTTACACTTGACTGCATTCTATCATTTTACCTCCTAGGTACTCCATGTGCTGGGAACTGAGTTGTGGGGAAGTAATCCATGACAGCCACATAAACAAATTCCTCAGCACTGTCAATAATTCTAATTATGGCATCTATATCAATGGTCCTCCCCTCTGGACACAATGGGGAAGGGGAGCTCTGAAATGATTGAGATTCACATTACATATCTGACCATTCCAAATTGCTATCAAACATGCAAACACAAAACAAGTTTCCCCAATATTATTAAACTGATATATTCTTCTTGTGTACATGTAATATAGCAAGAAGAAATGTTTGGTAAGTTTGATTACCGATAAATAAGTGGTTGCCTCTGAGTTGTTGAATTTAATCAGCATGGATGTGTTGTCATTGACTGAAGTGGAGAACTGTGCTGGCCAGCTGTTGGGGATGGAAGCATTGGGAGCCCCTAAATACCAGTACACATCAAATATCTTACCCATGTCCACTGCCATACAGCTACAATTGTACACCACAGCCCCTAACTCCTTCACCTATATGCATGTAAAATACTGCTGTAAATCCATGCCCTTTGACTAGTTTATTTAAGAGTTAGACTTTCATTCAGCAGCTTTTGAATTTGTTCAATGGTCATAAATCAAATCATTCCACATCATATGTTATAAATGTTAGGTATAACTAGTTTATCAAGATAAACAATATTCCTCTGAGAAGCCCTTACAAGTAGCAAATAGCAAAATCCCTGACCCAGGGGCCATGAAATTCAAAATCTTGGAAGAGGCATCTTTGCTCATAAAAAACCATGCACTTAGTTTGTTTGCTTAATACCCAAGAGCAGAGAAGGAGATTTTCAAAGAAATAATGCATTTTCAATATACAGAGAAGATGCTTTCTTAAAGAATTTATGCATTTTCACTGTATGTTCAATAAAGCAACACCCTGGGGCCATGAATTTCTCAATTTTGGTACTACTGTATTACAATATTACAATCATGCCAACAGTTTGGCTGCTTGATGTCCAAGAGTAAAGAAGAAGATTTTTAAAGATTACATTAAATTTGATGGTTTTAGCCCCACCCCTAAGGCCTCAGAGGGGTGGGGCCATGAATTTCACAACTTTTGTTTCCTTTTTCCAAAAATTCTATATGTGAAATTGGTTAAAACTGGTTTCAAAGGCTCCAGAGAAGAAGCTAAAAATGTTTCATTGTTAATGCACAACCCACATCGCATGGCAGATGTGCAAAAAAATAGATAGCAATAGGTCACCTAAGAGACTCAAATAACCTAATAAAAAAAGGAATGCTTTAAAAAAATACTGAAATTTTAAATTTAAAGCAGTAACTTGTAGAGATTAATTACTTTCCCTTGATTTAGTACACTGGAAAATGCATGTAAAAAAATATTTAAAAGAATAAAAGTGGGGGAGGTGGACCCAATATTTTTTAATTTTTCTGTATAGACATTGCAAGTAGAATAACTTGGTATGTTACCTGAGTTAATGATCTCCAGTCCAGGTTTGCACTGCCAACATACAAATGCTTTCTGTCAATTAGCCACATTTTGGTGTGGAGAATCCCAGAATTAAACCACTGTTTGAAGTTCAGAGTTCTTACTTCAGCTCCAGCTAAATGGACAAAGTGGAAATGGATTTAATCTTTGGTCAGGAATAAATGCAGAAAGTAGAACAAGAGGCCCATGTGCCACATTGCTCACCTGAGCACTGTGGCTAGGAAAAAAGCAAAATCAGTTCAGTATTGAAAAGCTTAAATGCATTTAAGTGGTCCCAACCTAACCAAAAAATGGCGGGGGAAGGGGGGTCATGATTTGAACAAAATTGAATCTACACTAACTAAGGATGCTTACATATTTCTTTGACTAACTGTGGCATTTTTCCTACAAGTTTGAACTTTCATTGTGGCCCCACCCTACCCATTCATGTTCATGATTTGAAAAAAACTTGAATCTACACTACCTGAGGATGCTTCCATATAAATAAGAGCAATCATGGCTTTGCTGCTCTTGAGAAGAAGATTTTTGAAGATTTTTCCTATAAACTCCTATGTTATACTTTGATCTTCCATTGTGGCCCCACCCTACCCCCGGGGGTCATGATTTGATCAAACCTGAATCTACCTGAGAATGCTTCCGATCATGGCTTCGCTGTTCTTGAGCAGAAGATTTTTCCTATATACACATGTACTCAAATGTAAAACTTCAATTGTCCATCGTGGCCCCACCCTACCCCCAGGGGTCATGATTTGAACAAACTTGAATCTTCACCACCTGAGGATACTTCCATATAAATATGACCAATCATAGCATTGCTGTTCTTGAGAAGAAGATTTTTAAAGATTTTTCCTATATTTTGTAATTATCTCCCCTTGGAAGAGGGCGTGGCCCTTCATTTGAATAAACTTGAATCCCCTTCACCCAAGGATACTCTGTGCCAAGTTTGGTTGAAATTGGCCCAGTGGTTCTGGAGAAGAAGACGATTTTGTGAAAAGTTAATGACAATGACAATGACGACAACAATGACAGACAACGGACAAATTTTGATCAGAAAAGCTCACTTGAGCCTTCGGCTCAGGTGAGCTAAAAAACTTTTTTATTTACTTGAAGCAACTTAACTGTACTTGCCATATTTAGCCAGATATTCAGTGTTTTTGTTAATTCCATCTGGTTCATTTTGAGCTATTTTGATTTTAATTTTTCTGTCATGGCCTGCACTGGCTAGAGTCTGTAATATTTTTTCTCCCTGTAAAATAAATATAAATACAACAAAATATAAATCAATCATAACTTCTTACTTATTACAATTAGTAAGGCCAAAAAAATTAATCAATAGTTTCTCAGGCACCGCCGCATCAGGTCAAACACTGCCGCATTGATCAATTTTATTGATATATTAAAAAGGGAAATAACTCAATTTTCTATTTTTCCAAGTTAAAAAAAGAAAATTGAGTTATTCCCCTTTTCATAAATGCTAATGGACGTTTTTATTAGATAAACAATACATTTCTTGTTAATAGGGTATTTTATGAATTAACTTTGTTGGGAATAACATTATTTAAAGTTGAATACACATTATAATTAAATTAAGAGAACAAAAAAAGTAAGAATCAGTTGATATCATCAGTTTGTTGAATGACTGACATGAAAAAAGGTATAACAACTCCATCAAAAAAAAAAAAAAAAAAAAAAAAAAAAAAAAAAAAAAAAAAAAAAAAAAACCTGCCTGCCGCAATGAATTTTTAATTTTTTTTTTTATATTATTTTTATTATTATCAGATATTTATTTAAACTGGGAAAATATTTTTTATAGCCTAATATTTATTTTTTTTTTAAAAAATGTGCAGCAAAAAATACCCCAAACAGTAAATTAGATCTAATATTTTGACCTTGAGGTATGACCTTGACCTAAGATAAAGTTTTCATTTTTTGATCTTCAACTTGATCAAATATGAAGTCTCTATCTTACATGGTGAAAAAAATAGAGCTTCCATTGAAATCAAAATCATTCTGTTTTATTTGCAAATGTACCCACTTGTAAAAAGAGACTGACTTTACTGATAATATATAGTACTATGAAATCGAAGAGGTAATCTCATTGCTACTTGACTGAATGAAACTTGGTACTGACCTCCCAAGATGAGTTGTCATGGAAATCAATATCTGAGCCATTCAGTGTCCAGTAGAAGGAGGCTATTTCTATGCTCTTTGTTGCTGCTTCCATCAGACTCATTAAGCCTGAGAAAGTCGATGGGTGAGAAGGGGAGTCTGGTTTAAAGGTCAGTCCAACAGGTATACTCTCCACTAATGATAACCTGCAAGTACAACACAGGTGTAGAACATCGCGTTACATGTACCAAGTCATATTTCACCAATAGGATTTAATGTAGATGAATAAATTGTGATGAAGAGAACAACAGGCCAGTCCTCTTCATCTTTTAGGCTCATTAACATATGGTCTAGCTACTAGTATCTCAAAAGCTCTCTGACTATATCTGTGATCAAAGTAATTTTAAAAATAAAGTTTTGTATCGATCGGTACTCTTCGTTTTTGTCTCTTGTGGACATGTCCTAAGCATGCAAAGGGTTTGACTTCATTTATTGAAGTACATTGTAATAGTCAGTAATACTCATTGTAAAAATTTACAGTAAATCTTCAAAAGAAAATATAAAAAAAAGCTTTCTATACAAAACTGAAGTATTACATGCATCTGACATATAAAGTATAGATGATTTCCTCTTTCCACTTCTTGTTCATTAGCATTTTTTGGTGTAATAGAAAACATTTTCAATCTATTCACATAATTATCAAAGGGAAGTATTAACAAAATCATTAAGGGTGTAAGTTGATTGAATCAAATCAGATAATATTAACTATTTATCAGGATTGTATCGGCAATAGTTTTGATAGGTATACTTATCTGCTTGCTGTATATTTTTAAAATGACACACTTCAAGTCAATTAACATAATGCAAACACACTGAACCATGTGTTCTCATAAGTTTACTCAATTAATCAGAGAAAAGAATGTTCTCCTGGGAGTTGACTCAACAATTCAATCAATTATCAAAGTAATGAATACCACTGGGTTTTTTTTTCTCTCTCAAAAATTATACAGTTAACATTTGTTTTAACGTTAGTTCAAACAATTCAACGTATCAAAAACTTTATTCATTTATTATATATACATGTACCACATTCGTGGATATTTTGCCACCCCCATCCACGGTTGTCCCTAAGACCCGGGGGCCGGGGAATTTCCCCACCTATAATGACGTTATCCCTCTGTTACTCTAGTATTCTTCCTCAACCTCAAGTTAGGAGAGGAACCTCAGACCCCCTTCTACTTTTTGAAATTTCCCCTGCTACTTCAATTCTTAGGGACAACCCTGCCCATCCCACCCCCCAAAACACCAAACATTCAATGTGTATTTGGGAGACTAGTCAATCTCTCTTATCTTCCATGAATTTGTCAATCCATGCAGTACATATAGGATCTCTCATGATTTGTAGTTGGATATGATTTTTATCCAACGAGTTGTGTGTTTTTTATCCCCGAGCCTTGGCAAGGGGATAAAAACACACAACGAGTTGGATAAAAGTCATATCCAACTACAAATCATGGGAGATTCTTTTTATCCCATGTTTAATACTTCACAACCAATGTTTTACACTGTTTTATATAGGACTCCACTTTATTTTACTTTATCCAGCTAACGCAAAAACCATTGTGACGTCACAACTGTGGATTATGAAAAAATTATCCAATGAGTCATATCCACGGGATAAAGGGGTAAACATGGGATAAAATGTATTATTAGGTCAAAATATTGATTGCAATTTTATATTGCACATTAACATGAAAGCTGAAAAATCCTATTACATAAAAAATTGCTTGTACTGAATAATCCTTAAAATCTCATTATCTACAAATTGTCTAGTGAAAACAAAAGCTTATTCAGTGTTTAATTTTTTTAGTGGATGCATTACCTGCATGCATTTTTTAGGGTACACTTCTGAGTAAACTGGCTCACATAGTGCGCAACTTGCATTATGGCCAAGGGAGATTGAACATAGTTCAACATCCAAAAATCATTTCTTGGTTGGTTAAGTTTATTTTTATCTAACAGTTATCTGAAAATTAATAAATATTGTCTTGTTTTTGTATGTATTGTTTTGTAATAAAATTCAAACTCAATATGACATGTAAACTAAGGCGAAGCAGGAAACAAACACTTAACCTTCAGCTACTATTTTACATTAAGTGCACAGCTCCTTGACTGATACTTACACACATTGGTCATTACAGACTGGATTTTTCACATGACTTGGTCCATTCTTATTGCTGTTATGTTGATTAGCTGCCACAAAGTATATAACAAAAGTAATAGCTGCTCCTAGTGTGGCAACAATTAGAACCACAAACATCACAGTCCGCCATACCACTGGTTTTGATTTTCCAAACAGTGAGTCTACATCTGAATCCAGTGGAGCTTTCGCCTGAATATTGGAATCCATTCTTGTTTCCCTTGTCTACACTATAATAAAAAATCAAATTTCATACTGTTCAAGGTCTTCAAATCCTTTATGTATCATTATATGTACAGATGTACATGTATTTAGAACTGCAAGTTTTCATAAATCTCAATTAAACCTTATAAAATGGGGCAGTCTGGCTTGGCATGTGTAGAACATTCCCTCATCAATGACTATACTTCTACAGTTTTTACATTACTCTTACCCAAATAAACATGCAAGTGCATTCAATACTGATTTGATTAATACACATGTACATCCTAATACCTTTTTACTTGCTAAGATGACAATCCCAAGATCATCGTCTCCTCAGTCAGCTGTATTTTCAAAGGAGCTGCAGAAGGAAATATTTGTATTGGTGATTCAATTAACTTGCTACTGTCCAAAAAAAAAAAAGTTAATTTGTGTTTTGCAAAGATGATCCATGGATGATAAATTTGTAATTATTATTTAATTATTGAATAAAATTTGTCAGTAGAAATCTTACATTTGTAAATCAAACAACAGGCATAAATAACAGATATTTGCAACTTCAGTTCCATTAACCTGTTAACATGTTTAAGTTATTAAATAAATATTTATTTCATTATATATAATTATTGGTGTATGCTCAGCTATGTTAAGGAAGGAAATGGAAAATACAATTAAATTACGTTATTAATATGTATAACTTTTATAAATCTATGTTATAAAGTAAATAATTTAATTTCGTTTGTATTCTAGCCTCTGATTGGTTAATATCCAAAAAGGAACACAAATTATTTCTGTATAACCTGGTTTGGTATGGGGACACACCCCCCTGACAACCAGCTGAATCATCTGTATCCATACAATCCTCTCATTTCCAGTCCTCGGGATTCATGGAAAATTCCAGATTTAATAAATATACCTTTAACTTCAAACAATAATTCGATCTTACCACATGTAAACAAGCTGCTAGGCCTATGTATCAGTTTTTACCTCCCCTCGCTTCCCATCACTTCCATTACTTCCGTTACTACGGTTGTATTATTGAGCGGCAAATTTGAACTAATAAAAAGCAACGAAATTTTACACCCATATTTATTTAATGACTTTAAAATTAAATTATAAGGAATGACTCTAATTCTTGGCCAAATTATTCGAGTATAACCTGGTTTGGGTCAGTTAACGCTGTTTTATAATCCGCTTCGCGGATTATAAAGCGTAGACTGACCCAAACCAGGTTATACTCGAATAATTTGGCCAAGAATTAGAGTCATTCCTAAAATGTATACTTGTAGGAAAAGTTATACAGATATCCATAATGAAAAGGTTTGTGCCATACTCAGTACCAGTTACACCTCATGTATCAGCTGTGTGTCACGTGACTAGTATAAAAATAGAATTGTTAAGCTGAATGTTGAAAATGACACTAGTGCAAGGGCATACGCATGTTTTTGGACAAAATAATTAATACACATTAAAAGAGGTTTACATCAACTACATGAGAAGTACTGGGAGCTTGTTTGTGCTGTTTCAGAAGTATATACTCTTAATTTTTCCGAAAATGCATACAATAGCTAAATATTTCCACTTCACTTAAATTCTATTGTGAATAAAAATATTGTTAGGCAGACCAGAATCAGCTCCCAGCACTTTTAAAAATATACTCGATATAAGCAATTGATATTCCATATTTTACCTCGAACAGTCTAGTCTATGCCCTTGCACTTTTAAGGTAAATTATGAATAGGCTTATCGTGTTAGCGATATTATTTACATTCTCTGTCGCTGTACAGCTCCACAACAGCTAGACAAATTGGTAATCTATATAATCGTTTTAAATAAATTATTTCCTTCTAGTTTTGTTGATTAGATTAAAAAATTGGTGATGGTTTCATATTTATTTAAGTATATTTGTATTTATTAAACCCATGGATCCACTCCTCTGGATCACTTGTACTGCATCAAGTCAAGGCTATAGTGACGTAATTTCTGATACAAGATATGCTTCTCATTACTCGACAGTACTGTTATCAAATGGTGAGATTTTACAATGATTTGATAAATAATTGATAAAATAAATGTACGCAAGTTGTTGTCATTTACGAATCATTACCTGGTAAAAATAATTTTTTTCACTTGTCAAATTTTTAGTGACGTCACAATGACACTTACCATTCGGTGCTCATGCCTTCCTTAACATAGCTGAGTGATTTGTAAAGTTTTAAAACTATATATATATATATATATATTAGGGATGTCAAATCAATCAATTTTTGATAATCGGTTACTCGGACGTTTTTCCGATCGAGTACCCGGGTACTCGGTACATGTAAAATTGTACATACAAGTGTGTTAATTTTCTTGAGCCACATTAAGCTCTGTCAAACCCTAAAGCTGTTTTTATCAAGTTTATAAATGTATATAAACATCGAGTCCAATGGAACTGTTTTTTGGTACTAAATTTATTTATCAAATAAATACAAAAGACACAATTAATACATCAAAAATTACAAATGGTTTATAGTTTTTATAGTTCTTGTTTAGGATCTATTCATCAACGCAAAAGGAGGACGGTTTGTTATGATTAGACCACAGGCCTTTGGATCGCTTAAATTCGACTTTTAAAAAATGGGGTGTATAATAAAGAAATTTTTTTTAACACCTTAATTTTTTTTTTTTTTTTTTTTGGTAAAAGCGATCTAAAGGCCTGTGGATTAGACTAGCGAAAGGGAAGGAACGGACGTTGTTGGGATCGGTAGTCTAAATTGGTTGTTTCCCCCGTATAAACTTGCTACACAAACTGACTTACAACATTTTTTTTATCTTTAGTCATTTCTAACTATTTCTTCACTTTTGAAGTGGGTATGCATGTCCGATTTCGCTGCCATATATTAACTTAATAATTTAAAAATGATTTGAAGATAACAGACTATACTTAATCAAATCGATGTTCACTGAAAGCAATCATTGAAGCCATCTAAAAATTAAGGACCACAATAGGTGAGAACAGCTCTATCCAAGGTGTTTGGTCACTAATTACTGTATAAACATAGCCACAGGCGATAACAGTCTTTTACAGGTGTAGATGGCGACACGCTAATAATCGTATGCAGTTTTAAGATATTACTTTTGATAATTTTTGACAAAATTATGTACATTGAAATAAGAAAAAATACACTTCCGAGTAACCAAGTACCATTTTTAGTATTCGATACTCGGACGTTCGATCGAGTACCCGGTTAACCGGGTACTCGTTGACATCCCTAATATACATATATATTAGGGATGCAAATTTCTAACCGGTTAACTGATTACTCGGTCGGAATGATGGCAATCGTTAGAAAAACTGTAATCGGTTAGTCAAAAAAAAAAAATTAAAATATATGTAAAAATGAAGACAATCTTCCTAAAATTCATTGTTAAAAAAGAAATTCCTATTGAAACGTTGATAATTTAGCGTTTTCGTGTATTCATATAGGCTGATTGGGAGGTAATTATGGCTCTCCAGATTAAAATTGTAGGGTAATTGGTCACTCTGAGATGTGTTAATTACTGTTAAAACATCATGTCGTTACCCTGACTGTCCTGTAATTCTTTAATGATAATAATCACCTTTGAGCAACGTGAATGGGTGTGTGTATCTTTTGCAGTTATCTATCAAATTAAATTATTAAACAAACATTGTAAATTAAGTGATACATTTTAGACGTAGTTTTGATTATGGTGACAATGAAGAATGAACTTGTGTGACATCTGCTCTGAAAAATTACCCATGATATCTCAGGCATGTTTCATGGTTTTCTGAATTTTTTCTTGTCTATTGAAATAAAAAATATATGCATGTAGTTTTCTGATCAAGAATAAAGACAAATAGAATGTTTTTGACCTCTAACATCTTTTTTTTAAAATACTTCTTGTGCATGGGAATAGAACTACCTGAAAAAAAGTCAAGAAAATGTGGAGTTTGATACGATTAACCGGTTAATCGGTTGGAACGTTTTGCGGATAACCGATTAGCAATTCTGTATTCGATTGCCATCCCTGATATATATATATATATATATATATATATATATATACATACGAGGGTTGTCCGGTAAAATCGTGGACAAGTTGCCTAGAGTGAAAAAATAATCATCATTATGTTCTAAAATTTTCACTATTTTCTAGTATACTTTTCATCAATATACATAGAAAACAAATAGATAGGTGCTCCAATAAACAAAATATGAGACTTTATGTTATGTGTGGTATCGCCTTACGGCGCACGGATGATAACGTCAAAGTGTCTAAAGCAGCGTCATGTTTCCACTTTGCTAAAACAAGAGGCCCAGAGGCCACATCGCTCACCTGAGGCTAGGAAAAAAGAAAAAATCAGTTTACTATTGAAAAGCTTAAATGCATAAGTGGTCCCAACCTACCCCTAAAAGGGAGGGAGGGGGGGTATGATTTGAACAGAATTAAATCTACACTTACTAAGGATGCTTACATAATTTTTTGACTGTGACATTTTTCTCTACAAGTTTGAATTTTCATTGTGGCCCAACCCTACCCTTGGAGGTCATGATTTGAACAAACTTGAATCTACACTATCTGAGGATGTTCCATATAAATATAACAAACAGTGGCTTTGCTGTTCTTGAGAAGATTTTTAAAGATTTTTCCTATGCAAAACTTTGATCATTCATTGTGACCCCACCCTACCCCCGGGGGTCATGATTTGAACAAACTTGAATCTACACCACCTGAGGATGCTTCCACATAAATATGACCAATCATAGCTTTGCTGTTCTTGAGAAGAAGATTTTTGAAGATTTTTCCTATATATTCCTATGTAAAAATGTGATCGCCCATTGTGGCCCCACCCTACCCCGGGGGTCATGATTTGAACAAACTTGAATCTACACTACCTGACAATAATTCCACATGAGTTTCATCTTTCCTGGCCCATTGGTTCTTGAGGAAAAGATTTTTCAATAATGCCATTAATTTTTTGCTATTTCATAATTATCTCCCCTTGGAGGAGGGCATGGCCCTTCATTTGAACAAACTTGAATCCCCTTCACCAAAGGATACTTTGTGTCAAGTTTGATTGAAATTGGCCCAGTAGTTCTGGAGAAGAAGATGAAAATGTGAAAAGTTTACGACAACAATGACAACGACAGAAAACGGAAAAATTCCGATCAGAAAAGCTCACTTGAGCCTTCGGCTCAGGTGAGCTCAAAAGTTGGATAAGCCCCACCTAAATTCGGGAATTTCATTGATGCACGTATTTGAGTTTCCCTTTATTCCTCCATAAACAGCCAAGGAACCAATCTCGCACACACATTGGACCTTCTGAAGATTTATTAGTAGGTTATAGACAGT